TGAGATCGAGTTGCGGCGAGCCAGCGAATTTTACAAGGCGCCAATATGCGTATAAAGTTTCATCATGTCATAATCGCGGGTCATCCAAGGGTGTCGCCTCAGACGCCTGTAATATGTAGCCAGTGAACTGGCTTGATTGGCATCTGCCCCCTAGATTGCGCAACACAAGCTGCTGGGAGCATGGCTATTACTATCAGCTACTGGCTGAGCAGTATTTGCCCCCTGACTCGACCGTAAGTCGTTGGTAATATCGTGCATATTCGTATGTCAAATTTGAAAAAGGAACCTACGCAGCACCAAAGGAAAAAAGGCCCTCCCACCGGCAGTATGCTTTGACCTCACAAATGATATGATTCGACTTGAGGTGTGTGTCTAGCTGCGACTTACTCGTCCGTCATTTCGGGTTTCCGTCTCGACCTTCGGATCCGTCAAATCCGTGTCGTCCACCCCAGTGGCTGATGCGGGTTCAGCTGGCAGGCATGGATGAGACCAAACAGACATGGAGGCAAAAAACCCTTCCCAAGCTTAATGTAGCTCGCGCAGGTAGCGGTACAACGAGCCGGGGCCTCGCTGCCCCAGTTGTCGCGCGCGCCCAATGTTGTGGTACTTGTCGCTAGCAACACACGGCCTGGTAGCGCAGTGCGACGGCCTCAAGCACTCCAGAGCAGGTACCGCTGGGCCGGCACAGCTACACTGTACTGCAGCAGGCGCGGGCACTAAAGGCTCGCAGCTAGCCCCAAAGCCGCCCAGCGCCGCCCACCCAGTCAGCGCCAGCGCTCTCTAGCAGCAGGCCGTACCTCGTCCGTCATAACCCAAAGTCTGGGCCCAAGGCCTCCCTGAAAAAGTCTCCTCATCCAAACAGCATCCACGCAACGCGAGCAGCCCGCCCAGGAGGCAAGTCCAGTCAAACCAAACCAAACCAAACCAGAGCCCCTTGCCCCTGTCTCCTTGTTCTTGCCCGCACGCCCCCTCCCTTGGCGAACCCCTCCTCCCATTTGGTGCCACCCACGCCGCCTGTCCTTGTCCAGCGCAGCGCTGCTAACTGGGTTTACTGGCTCCAACCCCCAAAAGTCCGCCTGCTGCCGCTAAAACGCCCTGCCCCTCTGGCTGTACTTCTGCTGCCCAGCCTGGATCGATCACAAAGTCGACTTTGCTATACACCAGAGCCTACAAAACTGCCGCCTCCAGCTGCGGCCCAGTGGTGAATTTGATCGTAATCTGATTTGATCTGCTTCGCCGTCTGCTCATCGAACCGAATTCGCCGTTGCTTCCGAGCTCGTAACGTCTTGCTCGCCGTTTCGGCATTCCATCTTGCAGGCGCTCTGCAGCTCCGCACGCCTCGCCGCGACAACATACCGAGGCGCCGGGGGTCGCCGCTTCGAGTGTCAACGTCTATGAAGTCACGATCTCGACGCTGAACATATCTACACCGACTGAATATACGACCGATCGAACGCACGCTTTGACGAGCGTTTCTTTAGAGCGCACATTTCACCGCCATGTCTTCCACTGATCCTTCTGTTCGGCGCATCCTGCCGCAGGAGTCCCAGAGCGCCCAGGCCATGGGCATGAATAGCTATGCGTTTGCGCCTCAACAATACCCCCAGAGGGAAACCCAGAAGAGTGAGATGCGCCGACCCAGTTACAGCCATGCCAAAATATCAGATGATTCAGCCGAAATCGCAAACTGACATGCTAATTAGACTATGTCTTCGTTGACGAACACAATCGCCACAAGCGGCTCAAAGGTAATTTTCAGCCATGTCTTGCAAAATAGCATCACCATGGTGGCATCGATTTGACTGACCGTTTCCTCGCAGTGATGAGAGCTTGCGAAGGCTGTCGGCGCCGAAAGATCAAGTGTGATGCGGCCACCACAAATACTTGGCCTTGTTCTGCCTGCATCCGACTTAAACTCCACTGCGTCCGACCAAATGGCTATGACGGCGCCACCGATTCGACGACATACGAGACCTTGGTTCCTCCCGGAAACCAATTCCAGCAGATGGCGATGCCACCGCATCCACAGGGCCAAGCTCCTCTGAAGTCAGAGTCCGACGTCTATGCGCCGCAGGCCGGCTATCCTGACGCAGCCTCGACTTCCTTCCAAGCCATGCCTTATGACGCCTCACAGCCTCAGCACGATATTCACTACACCACAGTTGCCCCACCAATGTCCCTGGTAGATCAACAGGTAGCGCCTCAGGATGCGTTCCCAACGCCGCCTACAATGCAGCAGTCGCAACCGGGCTCTTCGCCGGGAGCATATTCTGATTCCTACCAGGGGCATGATCTAGCAGATCTTCTTGGTGGCCTCAAGATGAATGAGATTGGAACTGGTATGATGATGCCTCAAAGCTGCAGGCGCAATTTACGTTGCTGACTAACACCGTGATAGCACCATATCTGAGAAATAAACCGTCCTTTAGACATGAGGATCCAGCAGTCGAGGAAGACGACGGTTACGGCAATCTACCTCCCATCTCGATAGGCGCCGGCCATAGGATTCGCATCCCTCCCGAGTTGATGCCGGATGATGGAAACGCGATTCATTACTTTGACCTCTATTTTACCCATGTCCATCCCTATGTCCCCGTGCTGAACCGGTCAATGTTCTACCGCCAATGGGCCACTGCTAGGGATTCTATTTCTCCGTTAATACTTGAGGCTCTATTTGCCATTGGAGGACGATTGGCAGATGAGCCGGCGCAGGGCCAACAATGGCTAGCGCTAGCATCAAGTACGTGCTACATTACTTGATGGGGACCGCGATCTATCTGTACTAACACGAGTCTAGGGCATGCCGATGCTTTTATGGATGTTCCCCGACTTAGCACCCTTCAAGCGCTGCTGATGATTCTCAAGGCTCGGGAGGCCGCGCCGAAGCGAGGTTACTACTACCGCTCGTGGATGACCGTTGTGCAGTGCGTTCAGATGGCCAAGGATCTTGGACTTGAAGAGCACTATGAGGAGCACAAAGCCGGCCGGCCTTGCGAATATGCAAGCAATCCCGCTGAATGCCAGCTGCGAACACGGATCTGGCAAACAGTCTTTATTTGCGAGGTCATGGTGGGAGGTCCTCAAGGTAAGTACTTGGCTTGCATCTTATATTCCTAGGATGGTATGAACGCGACGCTCATCATGCCAATATAGGTCGGTACAATATGGCTGTGGACATTGAGTCTGTGGATTTCAATGTGCCAAAGCCCATCCCTGGCGGGGACGACGCCGAATATCTCATCTCGCGCAACTTCACCTACTTTGCTCGTAACGTGCGAAACATTGCCAAGATAACTAGCATTTATGTGCGCCTAAAGAACAGAAAGGACTGGGGAATCGACCCCGAATTTCAGCAAATGGACCACGATTTCAGCCAGTTTTTGGCAGAAATTCCCGCTGATCTGAGTGTTACATTTCCGCCGGACGGTTCGGCGCCCTGGCTGCCATCACCATTCCTCGGCAATATCCACTCGTACTACTATCTGACTTTGATCCTATTCCACCGACCGCAATTATCCTTCTTCGATCCAACGACCCAAGAGGCTCAGTGGAAGCACCACATGATGATTTGCTATAATTCCGCCCGAGCTCTCTGCCGCCTACAAGAAGCCGTCATCAATTCATTTGGAGTCATGGGGTTACAGTGCATGCAGCGTGGCTTTAGCTTGGCAGTCTACGCTGGGCTTTCATGCATTGTGCTTCATCTAGTAAGCCGCGCTAGTTTCCTTAACCCCTTTATTTTTATACTACGCGCAGGAAATAGCAATTTCGTTTGTTATCAGAAACCTGACTGTTCGAAATAGGTAGCGATTGTGTCTCCAGATCCCGATCTTCATACAGACGCGCGAGAATTCTTTACCCGCCACATGCGGATTATGGAAACGGTGATGGAGGCGTGGCCGATGCCAGAATTGCGAAGACAGATCGACGCCGTCCGGGAGGCCTTTTCCGCTGACACTAGGAAGCCTTTTGTTCTCAAGCCGTCTTTCCCATACGGTAGCCCTCATCCGTCTCATAGTGCCAGCCCCCCAGCGTTTCGAGGCATGGAGCGCGCCAGTTCCATGGAACAAGTTCTGGATACGAGCGGCACCCAAACAGTCAGTTATATAAGCCATCCCATATCACCTCCAATCTCTGCCGGCGGTCTGGACAGTAAGAGTGACTCTCCATCTGCACAGTCACTCGTTATGATGCCACAAACGGTTGGCCCCGGCATGCCACCAAACATGACCATGCCGGAGCAGCCAGCCTGGAATCCTGCAAAGATTTTTGAGTAAGTCGCTACCCAGCGTCAATCGAAGTTTCTATGTTGCCCTAGTCTTTTCGTTTCGCTTTAGATAATTGGGCCTTTGGATTTCCTTTTTTCTTTCACCCTTGCTTGTTTTATATATATATATATATATATATATATATATATATATATATTTTTTTGGAACACATGTCTAGTCTTTTTACCACATACATATTCCGATCTCAATAGACTAACACTGTACTCAGACAATGGAACACCACATTTGGTACGCCTGCTCATACAGAGCCCAACCCTGTTTCCCCGGCCAGCTCTCTGAACATTGCTTCGTCCTCAGGTGCACCCGAAATTCCTTCGCTTGATGATATTCAAGCTGTAAATTCCTCGTTACCGCCCGGCTCACAACACAGCATCTCCCCACAACAATATGCGGCTGCTCCCGTGCCGAACTTCGTCACGCCCGCTATGTGGCAGGAATCTGTGGCCAACGTATACGAAGGCGGCCTCAAGCGCTCATGGGACTACGACGGAATCACTCCAGCCATGAAGCGCCGCTAGCGGGTATCATTCGTCGAAAGGAGCCTGGCTGGTCTTTGGCTTCCTAACAAATCTCTATTCCCTAATTCCAAAATCGACTCTAGCCACGATAGCGTTGGACTGGGAAATTACAACTGAGGGCTCATTGTTTACTGGGTCCTTTCCTCAGCTTTCGCCTTAACCTAAATATGGCGATACACGTTCCATACGATACCTTTTTATTAATTCTTCTTCTATCCTTTTTCTTACGGCCATGTATAGTTTCTTTCCCCCATGCTTTGTTGATTTTTCCCCCCCAAAGATTTTTTTTATCTTATACCGGTCGAAAAGGGGAGCTATTGGGCTAATTTGATTTTCACCCTTGTTACTGATATTTTTCTCTCTCCTCTTTTTTTGCTGTTTTGCTCTGTTAAATGGTCTTTTTACTATACGGATGCGATGTCACATCACGATTAGGGAGGTGCAACGGGGTGTGGACGGGTGGATATATAAAAACAGAGTGGCGGCGCTCCGGCAAAACAAAAGCGATATTTGATAACCGGTTATGCCCTGCGGGCTACGCTGGCGGAGGGCCTTAATGAATCTATGATGGACAGAATTGGTGGCGTTGCAGGTCGATTCGAAACCTCTTCTCAAACTTTTTGCTTCCCGGTGCATCGTCAAATGTCGGAGTCCTGGCTGGCTATGGGAACGAAATGCAGGATGTTAGCTTTGCGTGTAGTACATATATCACTGGTCTTATGGGCGATGTATAGTCAGTCTCCTTTTTTGTTACGATCACACGGCAAGGCATGGCTACAGTATCATGTATGAGATATTGGAGGGTACTCTTTACATAAAGGGTGGACCCTGGGATGATGAATTTCAAACGATTTGAGTTTTTTTGGTCTTTGGATACCTATGTTACGATATCAGGATGAGGAGTTTCAGGGCACAGTGCAGTGTATTGCAGCACATTGTGACGAAGTGAATCCATGTCGAAGGACATGTGGGAGTGCTACTATTAGAACTACTAGTGCTATCTAATACACACTGCTACGAACAGCGTCCGTGCCGGCGGCAAAGGTTCCGCGGGCAGCGCAGACCCAGATTCAATAGTAGAATTGTAACATAGAGCCAAGTTTCCTTGTGGGGATGTCCTTTTCTCACTGGGCTGAAAATGGATATTGCAACGAAATAATGCCGAAAAGCCTAAAGGGGGGGCTGATTAACATGAAAAGAACGAGCGGGCGGGCGGATGTTTCTTTTAGGCGGTGGAGCCCCCCCCCCCCCAAATAACGCTCGTTATCTACAGATAGCCTGGAATTGCCACGCGATGTGCCGCTGATATATTGGCGATAAGATGAAAAACTAGGTGATGTTGCTTCGTAACGATGGAGGTGTGATGTTGTGGCTTCGCACTTTTGCAAAGCTGAGAGTGGAGCTAGCAATGGGAGATAGAGTCTTTGCGGAGTAGAACGGAGCTGAAACGGATAGGATAGTGACCTGTTACTGGCGATTGAAGCTAAGTAGCGGGATGAAGTCTAGAAGGCAGATCAAGAAGACCAAGTACCTAGTGTGGCGAGATGACACAGAGGTGGTCCGGGGGGGAGGGGGGTATGAGCGAGAACTAAGCCTTGAGATCCGGTTGGCTCGACAAAAGGATGTGATGTATGCACGACTCTTGCTCGGAAATATGCAGAGCAACAGCCCAGAAACAAGACAGGAACCATGATAATACCTAGTGTACTGTGCTCTCTGAGAGGGGGACGAGGGAACAAAGAAGAGACGAAGGGATCCATCGGAGATTGATAAGTTGGTGTGAGTGGGCGGCGCTAAGAACTTTTTTTTTGGAACCCAGTCTGGGGAACTTTTTGTTTTTATTTTCCATACGAGCGAGGGCTGTGTCTAACGATTAGCTTGGTTGGGAAGGGGGGAGAAGTACATATGGAGTAATGTAATGCAATGTAATCTGGTATACGGTTTGCGTGTGCATGTGTGTTAGCATGGTACGATGTTATTAGTATTTCGTCCAAGTACGAGACAAGGGGGGGACTTATTGGGCTCGTAATGGAGTTACGGAGTATATATGGGTAAAATACCTATATCTGCACGTTCCGTACATGCATACATGAGGTGGTATTGAATCCTACGAGTAGTTGTTTGTTGGGACCTGGGTCGTGATGTGGCGGATATATTTGGAAACAAGGGCGGTAAAACACTTAGCCATATATAGGCTTACTTTATTTGCTTTGAGGGATACATGTATGGTTATGAGGCATTGTGAGGTATTCAATGTTGTTTTAGCAATGATGTAATCTACTTTCAATGAATTGTTTTACAGCTTGTAAACTCTGCTGATGTTTTTATATATGATACATGTTAATAGGTGACTTTGTTGCTTGATGGTTCATAATTGAACCTATTTCGAATGGATGAATGTTCAACCAAGCCAGATGAACAATATACTACTTTGCCGTTTAGAGTCAGCTGGGCTATATTAGGCTATATGGAAACAATATTTGACTTTTTTTCCTGCCCTCTTCTCTTGCATGTACTTTTGATATTTGATGTGGATTCTAAGCAACAGATGCCTCTGCTGAAGGAGGTGTGGGCGGTTCTAGCATTGGTGCTATCGCTCATTTTATTAGTCGTAGTATTTGTGTTTCTATCTGCGGCTTATTGTTAATAGCCATTACCAACTACATAATAACATACATGGCCGCGTATACGGACTATGTAGACTATGCGGTGTGATAAAACAGTGTGGGAACTGTTCCATGGTTGTTGACGCGGTTGGTTCTGTTTGGATAATATGCTGCTGCTCCGTATTTTCCTTTTCAGAAGAAAAAAACTACTGCAGCTTCTGCATTGCTTTGGAGGAGCCATATGTATGTACGGCATGTGCATGCATATGCGTGATAACGCCGACGAGGATTTGGCGCGCCAACTAGTAGCAATAAAGCACGGGTCAAGATGGGATACATCGCCACAGTGTGTGTAGAATGATGCTAATAGATGGCTTCTTTTTTTTTTCTGGGGAGCGAGGGGGGAGGGGGGTGTGCGCCGCGAAATGCCGAGGCTTTTTTTGGTGTGGCTTGGATTTCGCTGCGGATCTACGAGATGGAAGAGCAAAAAGAAGACAAAACGCTTTTGACATGTGAGAGAGCCAAGAAGACGGAGAAAGACAGGGGTGCAAGGGAAAGCGATGTTGGCTGGGCTGGAAGGGGATGAGGCGCCGGGATGGTGTGATGAGGCGCTGGGCTGCGATATTTTTCTTCATTTTCCTCGCTTTTTTTTTTTTGTTTTCCTCGGTCTCTACAAAGTGCGGAGTATTACATGCTGGGTAGATACGTGTCTCATCTGCTGTTGTTTTAGGGTTGCACCGGGTGACTCAGACTCAGGTGAGCGTCGGTCCTGGAAACGGGGAACGCTGCAAAACAAAGGTGAAGGAAGAGAGGTGAGGGAGTCTTGGCAGACTGGGGGGTTTTGGCGGGGTATCAGAAAAACAAACGCAAAGAAACTAAGAAGACGGAAGAGGAAAATAATAATAGTGAGAGGGTGCGTGATGATTGTGCTAAGATGATTTTACAAACTTCGCAAATCATACAGTGAAAAGGTTGCAGCCTTGTCTGTTGAAGCTAGAGCATCACAACTCCACCGAATCGAGCTTGGGCGAAAAAGCCTTCGTCCATGCAAGATCAGGCAGATCGAAATCGGCAAATCCCCAGATTCTACAACGGACAATGCGAGCTTCACCGCAGACTAACAACTTAGCACTGCTACTGCTAACTAAGAATAACCAAGGCATTGGGCCAACTGGGCGGTGGAAAATGGAGTATACTGTAGACGGTTATGCGGCTCGGGTGACATCCCGTTGATGGAGAACACGGACATGTTACTCATTTTGTTTCTAGCGTTTGGGCTCTTGATGGGTTTTGGGTGGATAGGTGAGATTGAGCGTTGGGATATTTTATGGCAATTTGAGCCTTTTGGTGGTAACTTTGATAGACAATGATAGATGTAAACTGTCATGGACTTGCAAGAGGGAAAAAAAAAAAAGGATTTACAACGAGATGCTATGAGATGATAATACGAGTTTTGTAGTTACAACGAGTGGCCATCATTTATGGCTTTAATTCTATCACTGATATACAATATAATTTCACAATTTAACGTTTGTACATAAAACTCTTACAACGCCTTGTTAGAGTTAAACGGCCGCCCTCTTCTCAATCTTATCCTTCAACGCATCCCAAATCCACGCCTCCGTCAAGTCTTTGCTCTTCTTTGCTTTAACCCTCTTCTTCTCCGTTCTCACTTCCTGCACGCCAAATTTGGTCATGGCCCGCAAGTTGTACCACCTCCTTGTCTCGTTCTCCACCATTGCGTCCTCAGCGTCTCGCACGTAGTTTACGATGCCGAAGCGCCGCTTTGCTGGACGCAGATGGCCTGCTTGCATGGTGCTGAAGCGAGGCTTTGCAATGGCGCTCATGGTCGTGAGGGTAAGGTCCGTCGAAGGGGGGAGGGCGCCGTGGATGAAGCGCTCGAGGACCGGGCGGCTGGTGCGAGCGGCTGGAGGGAGGTGGATGTAGATGTGAGTGACAAAGGGGGATGTTGTGTATGCAACGAAGATGAGAGGGATGAGGCCGCAGAGAGCAACTGGTGGAAAGTTAGTTGCTTTTCAGATGCGCTTAGATTGGCGAGATGAAAGAATGAGAAAACATGAAGGGCTAGTATCGGCAGTATAACCTCTTTTCGTGTTTGAAAAGATGTTAAGATGTGGTTTATAAATTCTCAACAGCCACTGACAGCTTGAACGGAAATTGCACTTTGTAAAATAACACAGCAACTCACCTCCCACAGTCTCCCACTCTGGCTTCTCAGCCTTGATATATCCCGGAACAACAACAAAGGTAAAAAACGCTCCGAGGAACAACGTCGTCACCTTGACCATGGCCAGGAACGTTATCCTCCCCGTACCCGCATGATAGATGAGCAGCCTCTCCGCAATATCTGTATTCATCATCGTTAGCAGGTGTGTCTCATACTAGAAGACGCTCAATTTGATGGTTACCGTAATGCTTCGACCCAACGTTGGCAGCAGCGGCTTTTGCCTGCTGCTTGGCCTGTTCAGCCGCTGAGAGATTCGGTTTTGAGATGGGCTTTTTGGGTAGCTGGGCGTAGCATCGCCGGAAGAGACATCTGCTTTCAATGGGTGGTAGGTGGCGAGCTCGGAGGAGATTTTGCCGACTGATGATGCCGGATGGCGACGAGAGGCTGGTGAATGGGCTGAATGGCTTTTTACTACATAATCTCAGAGAGAACATGTTGGGCTATGAGTTGTCGTCGGAATCAAGAGCTCAATTAAGCTGTGGCTGACGTCGATGAACGGCGTTTTTGCTCCAGGCTAGTTGGAGGACCCCGGATCGGTCCACCCCGCGATAACGATAAAAAAGGAACTGCCACTAAAACAGGTAGCTCTATCATTGCATTCTCGTTTATAAAGCTTCAATCCGATTTCTCAAAGTCATGTTAATTATTTAAATTGTTCAAAAATAATAATGCCTCTTTATATGATTTTCAGTACACTACCATCTCTATGTGCATCTCACCTTCACTCTCCTACCCAATGTTCTTGGTAAAAAACTCCTTCCACTGATCCAGCGTCCAGCCGGAACTAGTATCCTGAACGACGCCGTCAAGAACTACTGTAGGAGTAACATGGACGCCCACCAGGCGGTTCATCTTGGTGACCACCTTCAGGTCGTTGGTCACGGCGTTGCCATTGTTCAGCGACCCGTCCTCGCCAGCCTTCTCGGGAATGGCCAACAGCTTATAGACCTCATCCTCACTGACGCCAACCTTGGCGGCGACTTTAGCCAGGCGACGGTACGTCTGATTGCGGGTTTCTCCAACCACTGAAATATCAAAAAATTGGGTCTGCACCGCGAACAGCTCGCCGCTGAAAGCCCAGAACTTCTCGGGAGCCAGACGCAGCACCGCGAGGCCGGTCTCGTGCATCAGCGTGGAAGACGGGTGCCATGGCTGCACCTGCTGGCGGAAGACGACGGTGAGGCTGTTGGCCCAGACGGAATTCTCGCGAATGGTTGGGAAAACTTGGGATGTGAGATTCTTGAAAATCTTGGCGGAAAATGGGCAGCAGTAGTCGAGGTAGAGCTCAAAAGTATGAGTTGCGCGCGGGACGGACGAGCTTGAAGCTGTCGGCGGGGCGAATTCGAGCTTGTGGCCGGCGAACTTGGGAGGGACAGCCATTGTGGGTTGTGTTGCTTTGGTGTTGTGTTGCTTTGGTATCGTGTCGCTTGGGTAGCGGTTGATTAATGTCGATTGATCAATTGGCGGTTGAAGCTGCTAACAGCGTTGAAATTGTAGAGCTTCGAGGATGTGGGAGAAGAAGATGATATTGATTCTTCAGAGTTGAGCGAGAGGGTGCAAATCGCTGTTGGCAATTACCCCTCAGCCCCTCCATCTTACCTGCCACATGCTTATGTGCAGGGTGATGTCAAAGAGGCTTCATCCACGGGCGTCGGGCGTACCTGCCTCTGACTATGGCGGGGCAACCTGATGGGTTACGACCAGCGCGAATGGCGTGTGATTGCGTGCGATTGCATAATTCCAGTCATCCGCTACGGAGCTTTGACAGCAACATATGGCAAGTTTATGAACCATTGGGTTTTGAATGCGGCATTGATCGGGCTATCTTTCATCTGATTTCAATGTTGTCATGCACAAACAAGCATTAAAATAGCTTTCCGGCGGAGAGTTGGCGGCGGCTTCTGTACGTCTCGCTGCTCAAATGGTTACGCGCTGATGCTAAATATTTCACAAAATAGATTACTTTGGTGAAAAAGAAGAAGAAAAGAGATGCTTCGAGGGGAAAAAAAAAGTAGTAGCTTTATTTTGACAAGACCAGCTGTCAATGGTGTCAATCTAACAACGCTCGCTATTTCTATCGTACATCCAATGTCGTGAGCTCCAGGCTCTCTTGATTCCATCGCTGTGGTTGCCCATCAAAGTGTCAAAGGTCTATGAAAAGAGAAGAAGAAGAAAATCCACAAAAGAAAGAGAAAAAGAAAAAATAATCATACAACATAGCTTTCCAACATGCATTCCATCATTTACCCTCCACTCAGTCAAAACTTTGATGTCGCTATGCCACCCTCCTCAGTCTGATGTTGATATCGTTGGCACATCGCTCAAAGCCAATGCCAAATCCGTCTTCAGTTCGCGGCTCAGGGTACAGCTCGCTCTCGCCACGAGGATTCTCAATGTCAAAACCCCGCAGTACACTGGCGACCACATACAAGATTGTCTCGAACCCGACTTTTCTTCCGGGGCACAGGTTGCCCGCCACGCCAAAGACTCTTAGCTTTCGCACCATGGAGGCAGAGAGGTTGCCAGAGTTGTTTAGCAGCCTTTCGGGTGAGAAAGTGGAAGCATCGGGGCCCCAGGTTTCAGTGTTCCTGTTGAATGAGGACATGGCCAGGTAGATGAGATCTCCCGACTTCAGCTGGATGGGCTGTGAGTTGGGCACCGCGACGTCGAAATCGGCCTTTGCCACACGCGGAATTGCTGTCATGTGTAATCGTAGAGTTTCATACAAGCATGCAGCCAAGAAGGGGAATGATTCTCGGATACGAGTCAAGTCGATGTTGCCTTCTTCATCAAGAGCATTCGGGTTTCGTGCTTCCTTGATGACTCTGTCGAAGAGATCAGGACGCAAGAGCAGATGACGGATCATCCAGACTGCCATGGTGCTGGGAGTGACCATCAGGCCGAGCGATGTGAGCAGTTCAACTTTGAAATAATCTTTATTGGATTCCCACTCGGGGTCGGACATGACGACAGCATTGATTCGGTGTGCAATCTGTCGGACCCTTGATGCTCGGTTATTGGCGTGAGAGGCTTGCAGTCTGTCGATGATGAATGTTCTGGCCTTGTGGGCTGCCTTGGCGGTGTACTTCGAAAATGGCCTTAGAAGAGTCATTTGTGAGCCGCTGAGTTCCATGAACTGGTTCTGAAACTCCTCATCTACAACCCAAGGGCTTTCAGGTCCCCAAAGGGCGCTGGCGACAGCCGAGCTGGTGAGCTTGAAAAGCCAAGGGCCGAGTTCAGTTTCCTGAACATCAGGTTGGCTCTGAAGTTTCTGGCCTGTGGTTTCAGCCATTGTTGCAAGGAGAGCCCTGGCGTTGCTCGCAGATGAGAACTCGCCAACGTGGATTGGGCGAGGATCATAGCCTCCAATGGCCTCGATAGTAGAGTCGCTCAAGCCGAATACACGGCGGCCAATCAAGAAAATAACGTTGGCAAGACTTGTCTCGGAAGTATGCCTAGACAGGACACTTTCCATAGAAGGGTCTGTGACAACAATCTTCCGTGGGAAGATGTTGATGGAGAGTACCGGCCTGGCGCAGTTGAGAATGGCATTGTATACAAACGAGTAGAGTTTGTATCTCAACCATGATATAGTCTTGACAATCTTTACTGAGAGAGGCTTCTCGCTATAACCTTTGCGGCCACGATATGTGTGAAGCAGGGGGGCTATTAGAAGCAAAAGGAGTAGGAAGTGGTAAGGGAATGGAAATGAGACATGGGGCTCGGTGAAGACAGGCTCGACCACGCCGAGGTGAGATGCTGAGGACGGAATGACGTCCAAACGATTCATCTTGTGTATCCAAGAAGAAGTGTTGTTCAAAAATGTCTTGTAAGTGGAAATAGAGTGCTTATTGAAGACGTCTGATGTAAGTAAGAGGAAGCAGAGTGTCTATTCAACAAGTCTGATATATATATCGAGTGTATATATTGAGTGCTGTGGGCTTGTTGCGTTGTCCGTTTGTTAATGGTGAATGATGGGATGCCACCAGGAAAACAGCAACGCAACGGCATATTTATCTACATCAGATGAACATACATGAACCAGACAAACGGGTCTAGCAAAGAGGCTGAATCCATCCATCGCCAAACTAGCACAAACAGCCACCTTGCCTATGAGGCTATGGGGCGCAACAAAGCTCCAAAAAGATGTCTATGAGGCCACCGTCGGACTGGCTGGCTCGATCCTGCCCACTGCCGTAAAGCTGAGATTTTTGGGCCCCCAAAGTTTTTCCCACATTCAGCGCCCCCTCCCCCCCTCGGCCATCACTTCTCACGGACAAAAGAGAAGAAAGATGCCTAACTCGATGACAAGTTCTTCCCACTGGGGCGTCATGGTAGGGCACGGTAGGGATGGTTCGCTTGGCCAAAGCTGTGGGAGGACGGGACTAGTATCTTGGGTTCCCGCATCGGGGAACGGTTGATCGAGGCTATGTACATGAGCAGCTGAACACTATAGGCTTTCTACTCTTTTTCAGTCATTTTCAGCATCGATATGAACCATGCTAGTCGATAAGAATGATGAATTTACCGAGATCAGGTAAGAGGAAGAAAAGAAACAGCCCCATGTAAGAGTCAGGGAAGAAGACCATGTGGTTTGGCCTGCATTAGCACGAAGGGGATGATGCAAAAGAGGGAGGGGGCGTGTACCAACCCATGGACGAGCGCCATGATTTCCTCTTTTTTGGGTATCCTAAATAGGTCAATGGCCAATTTGGGGCGCCTATTGGTAGAAATATCATTTTGTAGTATTCTTCTTAGGCCTATATTCCCTCACGAGGACTCCCAGCAGGGAGGGAGCATGGGCGTGAGCGTAAGGCCCAGTAACTGGGGCTGAGGACTGGGGCTGGGATGTAGGGGGGGACAGAAAAGTATCCGATGATCTGGATGGCTGATTGGCCGCCTTGCGTTCACTGGACTGGGCAGGGACAGGGAAGGATTGGACGGCCATTATGGGGAATGATGCCTGGGCTGAGCGTTTGTGTGTGTGTGTGTGTAAGAGTCAGGTCAGTGTAGGTGAGGGCGGAAAGGATGCTACCCGATTGGGAAACCGGCCGTGGGGCCTAGCTTGGTTTTCACCGAGGGGCTGGTCATTGGCATTTTGGGGTCTGTTTTTTTTTTTACAATTATTATTTCTGGGCATTGGTATTTGGCATATTATTTATGAGAATTTTGGGATAAGAAAGAAAAAAAGGGAAAATGTAGGAAAGGGGATGTAGTATCAACTGCTTTGCTTCGAGTTGAACAAAGTCCTGGATACGAAGAAAACAGCCCTGCGCTACTTTAGTGTCAGAGCCAAACGGCCGTGTCATCAGTGGTCATCATCGATGTCATCCGGCTCAAAAGGGAAATTCTAGAATGTCTCATACTTTTATTTATATCATGTGTGCGACCCTACTTCCNAAAAAAAAAAAGTTGTGAAGAAAGAGAAGGAATCTGTCTGAAACTTTGTTTTAATGCCTCGCCCTTTTTGGCTCAGGCACATGCATTGCATTGCATGCCTACCTGCCTACCTGCCTACCTTACATGTAAGATAATGCTTGCCCTACAAATACATTTTGATCATGCAAGAGTAATGTGACCGATGGCGAGATGCAACTTGTGCATAAATGCTGCCTTGGCTGGAGTGCTAGCATAGGGCTGGATGCAATATATTTAGATTGAATTGGCGGATGTTATTAGTTGGCCAATGGAGATAAGTGGACAAAGGTGGACAGGCAGACAAGACAAAGCAGAGACATGCGCTCAGACGAAGGTGAATCCAGTCATCCATCATCCTGCGGTACACGCCCCCTCCATGTTTTGCTTGCTTTGCTCACTTTTTTTTTTATCTGTTCGACAAGACAAAAATGATGAAGACTAAAAACAAGAACACAAAAAAAAAAAAATCGATAGCCAAACCTCAGTAATACTGAATTACTAGTCGAATTCATAGCCCACACGACGATTATCCAATCCCAGGCGTCCATTGACTAGACCAGATCCCCTTCACCTTGCTACACACTCGGTCAACCGCAGCTGCGCGCGTCTGCTTGTCCCACTCCCCACCACCAGGTGTCACTTGCATCACCGTCATCAGATCAGCCGCTCCCAGATGCAAGGTTCAGGTCCCTCCCTTGCCCTGCGTCTCAGCCCCATCCGCCGAGCTGCCGCCAAGGGAATGGCCATCGTATTGCTCGTCGTATTTTTCTTCTTCTTTTTCTTTCTCCCTCTGCTCTGCACCGTTTGCTGATTGGGTATCACAGAGAGATACTAAATAAAACAAGTAAAAGCATTAAGAGCCAATGAGGCAGCACAGATCGCTATAGATAGAATCGTTTCTTAGCCATAGTGACACATGTAAGTCAGTAGCACGAAAACAAACGTTCTTTTCTTTATTCTTTTTTTCATCTTGAACGCGCTTAGACTTACTTTTTGTGGCACCCAAAAAAACAGATGCATACGATGTTACGATACGAGTTACCAGACGCGCGCTGGGTGCGTTGGACCAAACAAGGGCATCATATCACGGGAAGGATTGAGGCCGCAAAGAAGAGAATGCCGGAGCCGGGTGAGTGACAGCGGGCGGCCGCATGAAATGACGCCCAACCGCCCGTCTTGGCGCAAACTCTGTTTTTTTTTTTTTTGTGCTCGGCCTCTTGACGATGCTCGCTTCTTGCTGCGGCTACTTGGGCGAGATGAGATGCGCCAGAATACTAAGCAGTTGGCCGCGGCAATAGCCGGGAGCGATGTTGGTTCGCAGGGCGGGCGTCGCAATCGCCTGTTGGCCGCTGTTTAGCTCCCGCGGTGGGCTTAGTGGCTGCGGGAAGGGAAGGGGTAAGGCTGTATTGGGGACATGGAAATAATAGCCCGATCGGGCCATGCACAGGTAGCATGAACCATCATGCAGGTGTTTCTCTCCCTTGAGTTTTTTTCTTTCTTTCCTTCTGTCTCTTCAAGCTGCCCTGCTTTTTGTCTCTCGTTTTCTTCTAAATTTGGCGTCTGGGTGGGGCTAATCTGCAGCTGGAAGGGTCAGCTCTTGGGGGAGCAAAGAGTGCAGAGCGAGGACCAAGTAACTATGTGCCAAGTGCCTGTGAGTTTTTCTCTTTCATTCTTCATTCTTCATTCTTCCAGGGCTGGACACGAGCTCGCTTCGGTTCGCATCAGCTGAGCAGAGCAGTGGCCAGCGGCTGCTCGGTTTGCCTCTCGCAGCTGATAGCTGCTTGTACTTGTTGATGTCATCCAGTCACAGCATAGCCCATCGCCGCCTTGCGCTTCCAGGCAACAAAGCTCCAGTAGCGGTTAGTCATTCCACCCACTTACACCCACGCACACACACACTCTCTCTCTCTCTCTACAGTATCTCTCTTCCACTTTTCCTTATCCCTCCGCAACTGCCGCTATCAACCCTCCACTGCCAACCATCTCCGCGGCAATCTATTGATCTTTTTCGTTTTCTTTGCCCTGTTGGTCGGATCCATTCCTCTCTGCCGTTCACCCCCTCCATGGATATTATTCGTCCCATCTTCTTCCAGGGTCCCCTCCAATAGCGCAAAATGCCAATATCCGGCCCCCCTCCCTCTCCAACTGCCCGTGTCTGCCCGGCCTTCACCGAGCAGAGCTGATCCCCTGCACGCAGCTGAACTTCGAATCCGGGTCTCGATGCTACCTCTACGGAGCGGCGTTGGCCCCGCTTGTGTGTGCCTCTTCCCGCAAAAGCCCGGCAGGAGAAAAATAAACCAGCAACCGCCATGGTATGATACTGTTCCCTTTTCTTTTTTTACCGGTAGATGGATCGCGCAGATGGCTGCCCAGGCAAGGTTGATAAGCAGATGAGATGGAGGGAAGCAAAGAGGACCCAGAACAGAGACTATTTGCTAAGCCGCATCGAGCTGGAGATCTAGGCCCCATTCAGGGTTCACGCGCCGCTGGTGATTCTCTCTGCCCCCCCTGTTCCAGTCTATTTGTTTTTTTTTTCTCCTTCTCCCCTTGTCCGTCTACGCTGCAGAAATGACGTCTTTGTTTCCCTCCCCGGCTTGTCGTTTTGATTCGACGCATCATATGACTGGGGGCTAAAACGAGGCTGGCTGGCTGTTGTTCCAGACCGAAACGACGCAAAACAAAAAGAGAGAAAGAAGAAGAAAAAAAGATAGTCCAGGCACCCATGTATCGCATATCTCATAAATCGAATGGTGACGTACTACCCGTCGGAATACTACTACGACTCCCCAGCCCAGCGAATGCTACCTGAACTGGGTAGTGTTTTGATTCCATGTCTCTTCACCACGTGGTACGGCTACACTATCCCCTTGTAGTTTCACAAGAGGGGGGGTTTGTTTTTTTCCAAAAGGAAATAAAAAAGAATAATTGGGGGGAAAAATATATATTAAAAATAAATAAGTAAATTACTGGATCCAGGCTGCAGCGGACCTGCAGGAGTCATTGCAGAAAAGTGCTGCCTTGCATGCAAGGGCATGGTAGAAACGTTGCCTTGGTATAAATGTGTGCGCGCGTGTGTGTACGACGGTGACTCTACTCTTAGTCCAGGTGAGGCGTACAGCGGACAATTCAAGTTGGCCGAAGCTATTTTCGCTCTCCCTCTCTCTCTTTCTCTTTCAAGTGAGGCTCAGTGTTTTTTGGGCAAGCTCTGGACTGGGGCCAAGCACCCAGAGCGACGGCTGCAGCGGCGAAGCATGAAAAGATATTCAAGGCTGAGACAAGGAATTTTTAAGGCGTGCTCTTTTGGGTATGTCCGTGTGTGTGTTTGTGACTGGAATGGGATATGTGACGTGGACTATCGAACCATGGGAAATAGCATGTAGGATATGAGATGTTGGATATTCAAGAAGGGGGTGGATATGATATCTGATGGTGATATTGACCCGGCTTCTTGCTGGTATCACTCAGCCAAGGCAGAGTAGAGAGCATTTTTACCACACCACAGATGCCTACATCGTATCATTTCAACTTTTTTTTTTCTTTCTCATTGTCCTAGTCTAGACCCAAAAAAAAAACCCCCCCATCAGTCTAAGAAACTGTATTCTTCGTCACGACACCTCTCGCAAACTCTCCAAACGTCAAGTGCTGCTCAATGTCCACCTCCTCACCCAAGTTGGGCTGCGTAAACACCGCCAGCGTGTTCCTAGCTACCCTTCCATCGCTGACACTCGCCCTTACCCCCCTCACAAAGTGCGGCACCGCCTTGAACTTGCCCGCCGTGATGCGCTCGAGGGCCTCGCCCGTCTGGAACGCGATGCAGTCACGCGGGATCTTGACCTGCACCGTCTCGCCCGTTCGAGACTTGATGTACAGGCCGGCCGCGGCGTCGGGCGACGCAGGCAGCTCTTGCAGAGGGGGCAGCGAGGCGCCGTTGAGGCTTGTAATGTCCGCCGCGCTTGGCACCGCAGGGCTGACCTGCTTCTCGTCGATGAACATGGCCGACGTGAGGCCCGTCAAGCAGCCGTGGTCGAGATGGGTGCCGCACCAGTCGTCCTCGTCGCCCTCTGCCGCCGTCGACGCCGCGTCGGACGCCCCCTGGGGGAAGTAGTGCAGCAGCCTCGCCTTGGTGGTGTTGGACGTGCTGACGACGTGCTCCAGGTAGCCCTTGGGGTAGCCCTGGATCTCCTGCTCGGCAAAGCGGTCACAGGCGCGCGCCACCAGCACGGCAACGTCGATGATGAGACGGCAGAGGCTGGTCACTGCCGGCTTCATGCCGGGGAGCACGTTCTCTGCCGGCCAGATGTTGGGCGAGAGGTACTCGGGGAACGTCTCCGGCGAGAACTCTGCCGTGGGCTCGGCACAGTCCAGGCTGGGGTTGACGTAAAAGGCACAGTTGGCGTAGTAGGAGCCCTTGAAGGTGTCGGCCTGGCCATTCTTGAGCGTCTCCTTGCCCAGAGACCAGCCGGTCAGGTACTTGGCTTTGGCATTTTCCAGCTTGTCTAAATCAGGGGCCATGGTCAGCGATTTTGCTTATGTGGCTGGCAAACTATATGCATCTCTATGTAGTTGCCTGAACTTGGCCCCCTACTGATTCCCTCCCACTTCGATAGTCTCCCCTAAGGGAAAAAAAAAAAAAAAAAAGGGTGGCAGATGCAGCAAACAAGCAAACTTACCTAGCTCCTCCTTGGGTAGGTTACCCAAATAAGATCCATATGATAACGCGACATGGCGCAGCTGCGCAAACTCCTGCGGCACGTTCTTGACCACTAAGATGCCAAGGGAATCAGGGCCAAAAGCTTCCTGCAAAGTCTCAAAGGAGACATTTCCTAGATGACTCGCGTGTAAGTCAGAGCAATTCCGGCACGTATGAGTAAAGAACGAGTATATTCAGTTTTAAAAAAAAAATGTGGCGCGGGTTGTGAAAGTGGGATTGTGTGAGTGGGCTTTTGAATCCATCGATTCGTTCAGACGGGTTTGCACGGCACGGACGACTTGTACGAAGTAGGAAATAAGAAGTAGATGCACATGACGGGACGTGAGGCTCTTCATACCATTCTGGAGGTCTTCGAGAGACACAGTCACGGCCTGTGCCAGAGGGGCCATTTTGAAACGATGATGACGATGGGCGATGAGGATGATGCAGATGTCAGCTGCTGACGGGAGGAATGGAGTGTATAGTGAGAAGTAGACAGTAGAGGAGAGAAAAAGGGCGATCAGAGGAAAAAATATCACCAGATGGACGTGATGCAGAAGAAAAGGATCGATCAAATGCCCCCAATCGTACGAGAAAAAGGGCACCTTTTCGCGGTTTATCCTCGCCCCCAAAACGGCCCCATTTCCGCTCCTCCAACGCTCTTGAGCAAAAAAATAATCCGAATTACTAGCAGCTTCAAGCTCGCTTCATTCCCGAGCCCATATCGATTCATTAGCGGGGGAGGGGCAAAAAAAAGAAGCCAGTCTCAACGCAAACGAGGAGACGCCAATGAGAGGGCCAAAAGTCCCAAAAGGGCACTCACTGCGACTTTCGCTTACGTAACGCGGCAAGTATAGCAGAGCTTCTCAATGGACCGAAAGATGGAGCTCGCCGTCTCCCGAATCATTCAACTCCAGGCCGAGCTCTTGAAAAAAAACGAGCCAAGGCTGTTCCGCTTAATGCTACCCATTACAGCCATAACAAGCATATCATCTTCCGGTCTTCGGACGCCCTTCTGATCGAGGCGTTTTCGGCTCGCCCCGACGCCAGCCGCGTCTCCCATTGGCTCTGCTCTACTCTGCTCTGCTTTGCCAGTAGCTGCAGCTGTAGCTATACCGTATCGCAGCAATCATGGTCAAGCCATTGACCTTCAAGGGCGACAAAAAGACCAAGAAGCGGAAGCGCGCCGCTGCGGAGCTCAACGATGACGATGGCGCCGGCGAGTCCAGCAGCAAGCAGGTGGCCGCCAAGGCAAACGATGACAACGAAGACCAGGCCCAAGACGATAGCTGGGTCTCGGCCGATGCCGTCACCGATGTCGTGGGCCCGATCATGATTGTGCTCCCCACGGACAAGCCATCTGCGCTCGCCTGCGATCCCAGCGGCAAGGTGTTTGCGCTGCCGATCGAGAACATTGTAGATGACAATCCGACCAGCGCGGAGCCGCATGATGTGAGGCAGGTTTGGGTTGCCAATCGCGTGGCCGGCACTGAAAACTTTCGCTTCAAGGGACATCATGGGAGGTACGTTTGTGTGGTTTGGTTGCACCCCCCAAGATTCAACATTCGAGGCTACTTCTGCCTATGTATAGCAGCATCCCGCTAACGTGGATGCGCAATGAACAGATATCTCGCCTGCGACAAGATTGGTCTGCTGTCGGCAACCTCAGAAGCCGTCTCCCCGCTAGAATCGTTCAACCTCATCGCCACCGCAGACACGCCCGGCACGTTCCAGATCCAGTCTCTTCGTGACACCTTCATCACCATCAAGCCATCCACGTCGTCCAAGCCGAATGCGCCGCCCGCCGACGTGCGCGGCGACGCCGACAACATCACCTTCAACACGACGCTGCGCATCCGCATGCAGGCGCGCTTCAAGCCTCGCATCAGGACGTCCAAGGAGGAGCGCGAGAAGTCCAAGATTAGCCGCCGGGAGCTGGAAGATGCGGCTGGGCGGAGGCTGAACGAGGATGAGGTGCGGGTGCTGAAGAGGGCGAGGAGGGAAGGGGATTATCATGAGCGGTTGCTGGAGATTAAGGTGAAGAATAAGCACGACAAATTTGGCTGAAGCGCTTTGTGCTATGGAGAAGCTTGGCCTTCTGCTTCACGTTTCCGTGACAGAACAATACTTGCAATTCAGCGCAGCCACCGCAGACTCGGGATTGAGATGTTGGCCACCTGAAATAAATGTCAAGGCTTGATCAAGGGTCGCAAATCCAAGACTTACTTCAATCAGCGCGAGACTGACGAGCTGGCCGCTACACCCAATCTACAAACTGATCCAACGTTGAGTCATAAACGTTGCGAAACCCTGGCCACTAGGCCAGTGTTATCCAGAACTCACCAGAAAAAGAGGGGTGATAAGAGCAAAGTCAATATATAAATCTTCTTTTGCTAGGGAGCTGAATTGCTGTGTATATATACATATTAAGATAGAGAAAAGATAAAAGACAAGCAGAAGACGGCCTATAAATGCCAAAGAAATGAAAGCTCAACTTTTATACCATTTTGATATCTATTCAAACATTCATTTCTTTTCAGTTACCTGCCCTCCACGCCTTTACATTCCCATCCTCTCCTGTCGTGAAAACAACCTGCTCATCGTCAAAGAAGCAGAACGAGCGCACAATCTCGCCGCCGTGAGCACCAGGCAGGACTACTCTATTGTCATGGTCAAGTGCCCAGGCATTACTCGGCGTCTTGGCCAAGAAGACGAGCTCAAAGTTTTGTTTACTAATGCAGTTGTTGTTCACGATTAGCCATGTCACAAGAAAACTAAAAAAAAGGGAGATAACAAAAAAAAAAAAAAAGGAGAGAGAGAGAGAGAGAGACATACTCTTGCGCTCCAGCGCCTAGAATCGCACCACTACCATCCAACTTTGTCGTCACATTCGCCACATACTGACACCCAAGCACCTTTCTCAAATCCCCAAAGTCCTGCGTCGCATTGCCATCGGTGCGCTCCTCCGCAACGTCATACAGCGCAAACGTCTCGTCGTGCGACAGCGCAAAGACCTCCGTGGGCGTCAGGAAGGCGGCGTCGTGGATGGAGGCGTTGTGGTTAAACGTCTGGACGGTGAGCTCGTCCTCGTCGGCAATGGTCGTGTCGTGGACGCTGACGAGGCCGTCGGTCGAGCCGGAGATGAGGAGCGTGGGCGAGGACGGGTGGAAGCCGAGAGAGGTGACGTCGTCGCTGTGGACTTCGGAGTAGGTTGCTTTGGGGGAGGGGCTGGAGCGGACGTCCCTGAGAGCAAGAGAGTTTAATATATATATGAGTTTGGGCGAATGGGATTTAATCTAGATATGCGTGGCGGTCCTTCTTACCAGAGGTGTATTGAGGCGACGTGGTTCTCCAGCTCTGTGCCGACGGCAATGGTTTGTGTGTTTGCGCTGCATGCCATGGACAAGATTGACGCCTCGGCCGCTATGAAGCATCATGTTAGCCAGTAAATTCCACTCCATTCATCATCATCTTCCATGTCTCATCGTCATCTTTGCCTTTTCATTTCTCATTCTCACTCATCACTCATCAACCTCACCCTTTCATCATTTCACACAAACTCACCCTGAAACTGCGCAACCCTCGCTCCCTGCCTCAAATCCCAGACCCCAACAGAGCCATTCTCGCCAGCCGTGCAGACCAACGAGCTCGCCGCGTCAAACACCCGCAGCGTCGTCACATTTCCATGGCCAGTCTTGAGGCTCGTAACGGGCCCGGCCCCGAGTCGAGCGGGATTGAATAGCGAGAGCGTCTGGTCCGAGGCTACGGTGGCGAGGCCCGCTGCTGTGCGGTGCGCCTCGAGCACGTAGACGTCTTCTGGGCCGGAGAAGTGGTGCTGGTCGATGTTGGTGAGGGTGTACATTGTGAGCTTGTGGGATAATGCAGGTACTAGGTAATTATGCGGGTGTGGTATAAGACGAGAGGTAGCGATATCTCTTGGTGTTTCGCTTTTGCGAAGCCCCCGCTACGACCCTTTCGATGAAAGAATCCTGGAGAATTTCCAATAGAGCCGACAAGTTTTGTTCGTCTATTCCGCGAAATCGAGTTCCAGACCTAATGTTTAAATATAAAGATTCACGCAGAGCTGAAATGAAATGTTCAACAAGCACCTATGTAAACTCTTTTTCACCCACTAGGACGCTAAATTTAGAACTAGCCTCGTTAACTAAATATCCTCACACCTACAATTTGCAGCTCATGCCATGGCAGATACACACACGTCACTGAGGCATGCGTTATACTATCGAAAACATACTACAAACAAATTATTGTTACATATATCTTTCTCCGCTTTGTCTATCGTACACACGTATTTTTGCTCTAAAGAGTTCGAATCATTCGTCCAACATATGATGGGAGTGTCGCCAAAAGCCAGCTCGAAAAAAAGTAAATTTTGGTCCCTTTTTTTTCCTCAAAAATCAAAACACCTCCCAAGACTTGCTTTCTGATAGCAGTTCTTTATATCAAACGCCATATGAAAAAATCTAAAACGCCAAAACCTCGATGAAAACTTTGGAAAAGACTTCATTCATTTTAACAAACCCAAACCCAATTATTGTATTTTATTGTTATTGCCTCATCTGTTCATTCAGTCCTCGCCTGATAAGCTTTCGCTCATAGAACGTTCATTGACGCTTCGAAACGCCCGCTTGCCGACTTCGTAGCTACTGATCATAATGGCACAAGCCGGTGCCACCTTCAGAGTGCGGGGGATCCAGCCTCTCCATAAGCCAGAGATGCCCTCCGTCTGGAAAATGTGTAATAGTAGTCGCCCCATATTCTGCTGCTCGGGTGCTAATGCGCTTCCGGCCGCACGGCGCGAACTGTCGTTGTAGACCTGGGTGCGTGTCTTGCCGACGTCAAACGGCATGGTCATTATAGATGCAATAGCGCCGGAAGTAGCGCCAGCGGCGAAACTGTCAAGGAAAGTTTCTGTGTGGCTCTCTCGGCTCTGGGATCGACGCCGGGCTGTTGTGCGGCTGAACCCATCAATGGTGTCGCGGCTAACTGCCCTGCCCTGTCGTTCTTCGCGCATATCTGAAATTCTAGATCGGATGGATTCATATCCCCACCAGTAGAGGCCGGAAAAGGGCACATCTCTCCACAGAGTCAATGTCAGGCCGCGCCATAATGAAGTATAGCCTTGAGTGGCAACCATGGAGCGGATTCCGCTGAAAGCTTCAACCAGGTGGTTTGTCGTAGAAGAGCCAGGCGCAGCCTGCATACGGGTGCGGACGAGCTCGATGGGGCCGACGGCGGTTGCTGCAAGAATTCGAGCGAAAGAGCCGGCGGTGAGGGGTGCATAATCGGTTGAGAGCTTCGAAAACGGGCTCATGGAGTTGAATCGCAGCCAATCGTATCCAGTGAAGTAAATGATGTTGGCGGGAATTGTCATGGCGAGGGTAGGCGAGAGGCCTCTCCATAACGTCGTAAACCCTTCGTTGCGAGCAATCTTCCGCAGACCATCAATTGTTGAGTGATATGTCTTCTTTTGGACTTCTTGCACTGCACAGTCAGCAGCGGCGCCGCTTCCGCCGGATGCTGCGATGCCCTCGATTCTCGGCGCGGCAAGGCAGTACTCTATGGCGCTGTCTGCGAAAAACACTTCGCGGCAACAAGCTGTGACGCCTAGTTCGGCTGTTTGGACGGGGGTGAGGTTGGCAGTTGTTCGCATGAGTCTGGAAAAGTCCACGACTGGGGCGGCAGTGGCGGAAGTCGGTTGCGATTGTAAGCGCACGCGAACGACGTCTAATGGAGTTACTAAGAGAGGATGTAAAGTTAGTACAGTTAACAGCTCAGAGCTTGTGATGAATCACAGCAAAGATTGTTCACTCACCCAGCAACGAAGTCAAGAGGCTCCCCGACATGGCCGACACCATCTTCTGGCCAGCTGTGATATCCGGTATGATGCTGCCTCCATCGCCATCGCCCGCGCCCGCAATCCCAGGGATGCCAGACATGCTGGCTTCGTCTCCGTCTATCCTGTCGTAGTTTTGGCCGTTTGAGCTGTGGACAACAGAAAGAGATCCCATGCCGATCCAAGACTGGCGGGGGAGCGTGAGCGAGGAGCCGAGCCCTCGGGCTCTCACGAATATCCGGACTCTGTAGGCTTGTGCGTAGCTCTCGGAGATGCTCGGACCAGGCCGAATTCGGTCAAGACTCTTGATGTTTGGAGCTCGAAAGTCGATGCGGCAGAAACTGCGCGCGAATGGCGATATATCAATACAGAAGGGTGTTCAAAGGATGGATGGAGGAGGCAGGAATGGTCATGGAAAGAGGAGAGCGAGAGAATATCGAGTAGTCATAGCTAGGTAGGTTATTCAGTTAGTAGATACTAGAAGCCGCTAGCCAAGGTGTAGCGCATGCACGCAGTAAATATCGACGGCTCAGCGGCGTTGCGTCCAACGAGCCCCAGTTTATTTTTTTTTTCGTTGGTTTTTCTGTCTCGCCTCCACGCCGCAGCCGGAGATGAATCTGGCACCGCACCTGCCTGGCCTGCCAATCCCGCACCGAGGCCAGACACCGTCTGTAGCCGAATGATGTCACGCCGCGCTGTGATTGGCCGGGCTTTTGCTGTGGCGATTGATAATCAGCGATAAGATGAACTGCTCCAGTGCTTGATGCTTGTGCTGCTTCCCCATAGACCTCCATGGACCCTGCACGGTGTATTTGCTTTTTTAAACGGCAATTTTGGGGGCGCCGTCTTGATCTAGCAGCACAAGCTTCGGAGATTGCTCGTATGAATCTCGATATTATGCCACAGTCACTCGATTGCCCGGATCCCGCATGATCGCCTCCCACTCGTCTCTGCTTTTACACTCCTATGTGCATATTCATTATCTTTTATCCACTAGCATCAGATCAGGCCTAGCATGCTCAAGCACATACATCCACGCATTACGGCGTCTTAGTCATCGACATGGGCTCAGCTGGCCGATCGAGTCACTTCTCCAGGGCGCTTGACCGATTCATTGCGTATCTCAGACATGCGCTCAGTAGTGCCGTGATATTTGTAAGGCACTCCGTCTAAAAAAGTCCATATACATGCAGTGTTAGAACATCGTTATTCATCCCCTTTCTTCTCCATTTCGGCTATTTTCCGCTGCTTTTCAAAATATTAGTGTCCAGCTCATAATGATCATCATGTCCTTGTAAATTGAATCAAGCACGGCGCGTAACACCCAGCATAAGCAACTGTGCTGAGTACTCACCAATTCCCCGCGCTCGGCCATATCGGATTCACGCGTTATTCATTCGTATCTGCCAACCGCCGCCATGACTTCAGAAGACCGAGAGCCCAACTCGGAGCTGGAATCCTTCCGGCAAAAATGGATCTCCGACTTGCGATCCAGGAGGGAATCATTCGGGTCAGCCTCTCATCAGGCTGAGGCGTCGTCCGCAGCCTCTGCCGCTGCGCCGGCCGGTACATCACGGCCAAGGAAGCATTCAGGCCCTTCTTCAGGCAAGAAGAATTTACCAGTCATTGATGATGATGAATATTATCTTCACGTCCAATCGTTTGATGGCCCTCCTCCAACATCTGCTTCGGGGCATCTGCTCTCAGATGCTCCCGGCAAAGGTGTTGAGAGATCGCTCGTCTCAGCTCTAGATCACTATGAGGAAGCCATGGAAAAGGAAGCCCAGGGCAACATGGGAGAAAGCCTGCGGCTCTATAGAAAGGCGTATAGAGTAAGCTTCTTTTCTATTATTCTTTCTTTTTTTTTTCCTCTTTTCAAGATGTCAAATTTTATTCGTCCTATGATTATACTGACTCTTTGCTTTACTAGCTGGATAGTAGAATAGACCAGACATACCGTGAGAAACACTTCCCTGGAGGTTTCGCCGCCACCAAAGGCGCAGTCCCAGCCACAGGAGCACCAGCAGCACCAGCAACGAAGAAATCTGAAGCTGATGAAGGGGAGCCCAAGCCGCTAACCCTGGAAGAGCTCATCGCCAGCTTCTCAACCCTCAAGATTGAACCAGCGCCCCCTGAGATTGAGAACACCCCGCCACCCCCATGCCCAATCGCCAACCTGCCAGACGAGCTGCTTGTCCACATCCTCCAGGACGTTGCCGTCGCAGACGTCGGAGACTTCGCCCGCCTGAGTCTCGTGTGCAAGCATTTCGCCTTTCTTGTCGCCACCGAGCAGCGCCCCTGGAAGCGCGTCTGCCTCGGGAGCGAGTTCGGCTTCGCGTCCGTGCCTCGTCATTGGCAAAAGAGCATTGAATGGGAAGATCTCGAGATCCAGGAGGAGGCAGACGAAGATGGCCTACTTATCAGCATGCGAGAGCTCGAAGAGCGCCGCCTCGCCGACGCGCTATCCTTTACCCTGTCGCTCCACGATCCAGACGTTTATCCTTCGTGGAAGCACATGTTCCGAAACCGCCCACGGATCCGTTTCAACGGATGCTACATCAGCACGGTCAACTATGTGCGCAGCGGTCAGGCCTCCACAAATCAGTCCACCTGGGGCGGAGCGCCCGTCCTCATCGTCACATACTACCGCTACTTGCGATTTTTCCGTGATGGCACTGTCATCAGTCTCCTTACCACGGCATCTCCAGTAGACGTCGTTCATCACCTGACCCCCGAGCTGCTCCTCTTACACCGCGAGGCTCCTCACCCCCATTTGCCGTCCGTTGTGATGCATCAAGCATACAAGGGTCGCTGGCGGCAGTCCTCTGCCTTGGATCATCCTGACAACACAGATCCCAAGGAGCAGGAATCAGATATCTATGTAGAGACGGAGGGCGTCGGCCCAAAGTACATGTACAGAATGGACTTGACGCTCCGAAGTGCAGGCAAAGGCACCAAGAACAACAAAATCGTCTGGAGAGGTTTCCACAGCTACAACAAACTAACAGACGATTGGGCCGAATTTCAGCTCAAAAACGACAAGCCGTTCTTTTTCAGCCGAGTCAAGAGTTATGGAATAGGAGAGCCGGTAAAGGAGCTCTAGAGGACTAGTGCTGCTTATCCACTGCACCATACACCTGGTCGAACCATTTTATGAAAGCGCACCTACTTATACACATGCATCTCGAGAGTACATTTCCCATCATTCGATTCAATAGATGTAGACTCAACCAATAATATTACCAGTATCACAAATCTTAAGTAAATTTCCCGACGCCGGCAAATAGCGGCAAATAGATGGCTGCCAGGGCCACGGCTGCTATTCTCTATATCGCAGGTGCCAACGATGATTATATGCTCACTAAGCATATTATTTTCATCCCTCGTACTCCATATACAAGACAGGTGCTCGTATTTGATTATAATATCACACTATACGCTGCAATAAGCAATAAGCAATAGGCCGTTCGCACTAGTCGTTCTATAAGCACGAAAGCACTTCTTTCCAACTCTGCTTAATACTAGCGCGGTCTGCAAAGCCCCTACAGGTAATATTCCGTGCCTCACCTACTGAATCTGGCATCACCTTTTCCAATATTGCAACTGCTGGGCTACAAACATGACAGGGCATAAATAAAGATGGATTCATCATCCAACTTACTGATCTTGTAAGCGTAAGAGTATTGCCATTAGTCCACGAATAGATGCAAAGGACATGTGATACCCTCGCACTTTGTACCAGATATATATTGGCCATACGCTCTCTCTCTCTCTCTCTCTCTCTCTCTCTCTCTGTTTCTGTCTCATACTCAACAATCACTTCAACCATTCACAACAATCACTTTAGTCTTCACAACTAAGCAACCATGCAATTCTCAACTGCCTCATTTCTCGCGGTCCTCACCGCATCTCTTGCCTCTGCCGCGCAAATGCAGATCAATTACTACAGCGATCAGTGCAGTTCATACGAGGGCCAAGTCGATGTGACCTGGGCAACCAACGTTTTCAATGGCAAGGATAACTGCTACAACTACCAGTTTGGTAGCTGGGCAAACATTGCCAACTGCAATGAAAACGGCGGATGCAAATGCAATTTCTTTTCCTCGGAAAATTGCCAGAATTATTTGGGTTTTTCCGCCAGTGGTACCGGAAACTGCATTCCCGTCTCAAACGCCAGGTCTTTTGCCTGTTACTATGGCAGCAATTGAGATCTCAAATATCATGGGCCTAGGTATAACTAAATACGGGCTATGATGAAAGGAAGGGGGGGAATCAGCATGAATAACTGGTGGCGGTTTGCTAATTACGGGCAAGACAAACAAAACTGCATGTACATATATCTCACCAAGATATTTATAAACAATATAATTGGTAGAGGAGCTCTCGATTACAGCATGCAACATAGTAGTCAGCCATCTTGTATAAGCGTACATAGTACATCCATCTTGAGAGTGCGTTTTCTATCCAACTTACCGCTATATGTAGACTCAGCCAGCAATATATTGCACTTTGTACACAAGGCACTGGTGTTATATAGTAGCGCGGCAGAAGCTTGCCTATGGAAGTTGTGTAGTATTATTGCAGTCTTAAGCTACAAGAGGCCATGCACGCCGCAAAGCGCTAGCCTTTTTATACGTTTACATTGGAATTCTCTTTTTCCTTTTTATACTAGTGCGGCCTACCCAATATGTATCCACTAGATACAAGGCCAACCTCAGTACCTAGCTAACATATTGAAATTGTGGTTTATATATGTAATAGACCTTTAGCCTAGATGGGTGTGAGTGTGATTATCAACTTATATGTTGTAAGCATGATTACTTGATGCATAGAACGAAGCAACTGTGGTACACTCTGCGCTGGGTTTTGTATTATTAGGCAAGATACCAGTTGGCACTTTATTTCCAATATTTGAATTGTTATCTGTAGAGTTATTACTCTTTCTCTCTTACACACACATAGGTACTCAGACTCAACAATCATGTCAATCATTTACAAGACTTGCTTCAATCTTCACAAAACATTGGCGGCCACAAATCCATGAACGAGACCAATATACATAGGTATACAACGTCTTTCTTTTTCTACTTTTTTCAGGCAAATATATTAAATATTCCACATGACAACTGGGCATACGAGCACACATAGACTTGAAAAGAATGAACGGTTCAACAAAATTTACAGCGTTTCAATGTGTTTGTATTGCTCAGATCGAAAGAGTCTTAGACCTCGTCGGATCCCCATTAGACTCATGAAGAGTATTTTGTTTTTATATAAAAAAAAACGTATAAAAATGTTTAGCTTAAATGCCGCCTCCTTCCCCTTAACTTAATGCCAAATATGCTGGGCTCCAGTAAGTTTACAAAGAAAATGAAAGGAATGGTAAACTAGACGAAAAATGACGTTGATAACATAAAATATTCATCGCCATGGTATGATACTTAAACGCCCAAAATAACGTAGCCAAGATTAATAAAAAAAAAAAAAAAGGTGAAAACTGAGTAGGCATATACAAAAGTAGTGTAGCATAGGAAATCGCTTGTTCGCTAATGGTACTACATCCCAAAGAGAGGACGAGGATATAATAATGATTTGCAAGATGCGTTTGAGTAAGCGCATATATGAAATGGGGGATATTTGCTTTTTCGAGAAAAGACTGTATAAATGGTTGGATCTAAGCAATGCTTCGCTTATTGGGTATCGCATGAAAAACGCTTGCTGGAGTAGATTCGCTCGATTTTGTTGATAATGATAGAGATTGCGAAAACGAGTGTCTGGTATTGCCGTCTTTGGTTGTGTGGCTCGTCGTCTGCCCTTTTTTTTTTCTCCTCTTTTCTAGAAAGGAAACTGAACTTATCTTCATTGCTAGTTTATTCAGCAATAGAATAGATATATCGTTCAGACAGAATGGCCCCTGGGTTTATCGCACTCGTCTTCCGTCCAAAAACTTGGGTGGATCAGCGTTATAGTAGCTCTCTTGGTATTGCATAGCTCTGCGTGCCTCATAAGCCGCTCGCTCTTCTTCATCCATGCTGAAAGCTTTCTTGAGCCAACCAAAGGCACTTTTCTTCTTCTTAAGCTGCTTATCCACAGTTTTGGTAGTTCGTACGCTTTGCGAGGTCCCGTCGTCATAGTTTGCGGACGTAACCTTGCTTAAGCCGCTCAAAGCAGGCGGTGCCAAGGAAGAATGGCCTTGATGATATGAAGCATGACCATGTCCAACAGCCGTATGGGGCCTCTGCTGAAGTGGTGAGTGTGGCGATGCATGCACGGGGTGATAGTATCTTTGCCGATCCGAGCGCGGAGAGGGCACAACGTTGACCTGCGGAGGGGACATTGTCATGTTGCTAGAGCTTCCAGATGGATGGCGGCCATGGCTTTCCGCATCAGATTCATATGCTGAATCAAAATGATGAGATCTCATTGTCTGCGGCGTGGTAGTGCCAGGTGAATGAGCGTACTTCTCCATGCCTTTGAGAGACCTTACCGGAATCTGAATATCTCCAGGGGGCATCATTTTTTGAGATACACGGTCGCGGAGAGACGTCCTTCTCTTTACAACAGCACTCAAAGGCCGGCTATCTGCAGGAGAAATTGGTGTGGACCGGAGGGATGGAAGCGTCGACTGTGATCCCGATCGAGCACTGTGACCCGGGTCATCTTTGATAAGAGGTGAGGGCAGCGGTGCAGGAGGCTGCGGGGTATAAGTTCGTGGCTGGAGAAGGAACACCGGTTCGTCTTCATGATTGCTATGACCTGTCTCCGTTTCTCGATCGCTATCCTCAAATTCCATAGCCGGCGAGTCTTGGCTGTCTTGGCGGAAGTGGATTTGCATTGTCTGGGGACTGGTGACACCAAAGGTACCTGCGGCAGACTGAGGGGTATATTGAGCGCTTTGAGGGCTATCAAAGCCGGATGTCGTAGTAGCCGACTGAGGGCTGCTCAAGCCGAAAGTGTTCGAAGTATGACGGGTAGACTTAAACGGTGGAAGTAGGGGTAAGCCTCCAGGCAGAGGAAAATCAATAGTGCTGGTATCATCATCGATTATAGAGCTGGCCGGTCTATGTTCTGTAGATCCGCTTCGGACGCTCTCTTGAGTACTAGATCTTCGACTATAATCCTCGGTTATAACGTGTAGATCCGAAGGTCTTGAATCTTCAGGAATATTAGGCATAGGAGGAGCACAGAGTGGTTCTATGCTCGCCTGAAAATTGAATTAGCTACTGGAACCGACTTCGTTGATGGTGACAGAACCTACCCAGGTCCGCCGGCTAGCTTCACCGGCCTTCTTTTCCATCTCAGATATTATGTTCATCAACCGAATGATGAGACTGTTAATGTCTTGAGCATTATCACTGATTTTCTCAAATGCAATGAGCCACCCTTCTGCATTGCCGCTCATGGCATCAAAAATGTCGGTAACGTCTGGCAGGCCCGATCGCCATGTGCCTTCAGCATGCTCGTTCAACCAGTTTATGAAGATGTTGCTAGTTAGTAGCCCGGCTTCAATATCGTCGTCCCACTGCTTCATTGACACATTGGTCCTTGCGAGGATGTGCTCAATCTTCTCGTTGCCTTGAAGTATTTCGGTCCGGAATTTACTGTCTTCCAGCAGCTGTTCAAACACCGTGGCATTAGACATGGGAAGCATCAGATGATCGATGCGCCTCTTCAGGTCCGCCTCTACTTCTTCAAGATCCTCAATTGTGACTTCGAGAAACTCGTCCACCTCATCGATGTGGCCCTGAAGAATGTTGATGACCTGTGTATTATCATTGGCCATCCCGTTCAGCATCAGATATACACCAAAAGAAATCTGAGCAATTAGCTTGCCCAGTTCATGCTGGGTCTGGCCAGGTCGGAGCCTCCACATAGCATCAAGAGCAGGCTCATCTTTGCCCTGAGCAAGCACAGCCTCTCTGCGTCCCTGGGCGTCCAGCGCCCTCAATTTAGGCTTCTCAACCGCAACACCGCTCATCACCTCATTCAACGATTCGGCGAAAGCATCCTGTAAAGCAGGAATGGGGTGGATTGGAATCGCTGGCGGTGGTGGCGTCGAATCGGAATCATGCTCAATCTCGTCCACGTCCACCTCCTGGTCATCGTCAGATTCGGAGTCCACAGCATGTTGGTCGTGTTCACAGTATCGAGCAGAGCTCAAGGTGGTATTCGAAGGAGGCTCTTTGCTCTGATGGTAGTCTGGAGAGAGTGGAGAGAGCGGAGACGACATGTTCTCAACTTCGGGTAACAGGACAATCCGAAGTCCGCCTTCGTTGAAGTCGAGCGGCGGCAGCTGAGTCGAGGTCATGGCGACGCAGATACTATCCGATACAAACGGCAAGAAGGCTAATCCAGGCTAAGTCAGGTTGCACAGCACTATAGAATCAGAGACCCAGGCTGTGTAGCAGTTGGCAGAAATCGAGAGTGCTTCGGGAGCACGAGCAGTGGCGATGATGACAATTTCAGAATCTGATGGCGCTGTCTGCACCTTTCGAGAGTCCTAATTAGGATGGGCCAATAGCCATAATACCTCCGACCAAGTACAGCCCGAAATCGCTGGGCAGATGTTTCGACAAAGGTTGATGGAAAGGGTGGCGGGGTCGGATCTTGAGAAGGCTGAGGCTCGTTCTCGATTCTGATATGATCAACGGGATCGTGAGCCAAGAGCAGCCAGTGGGGGTGGTAAAAATAAGCAGGTCAGCAATCGGGTTGCATGGCAAGCTGGCGCTAGGAGAGAAGCACAGAAAAGAAATAATCAAGGAAATAAAAGGGACAGCAAGAGGCGACTGGCGAGGAGAAACGAGGCCGGCTAGCCACCCAGCCAAGGCAGGCCTTTGGTGATGGTTTATGGGAGAGATTCGAGCGGGCGGCGAGAGGGCGAGAAACGAAACGTGCTAATATTATTACTGGCCCAGATGTTTCTCGTCTCTGGCAGCTTCTCGCTTGAGGGAGCCCAGACCACCTCCAATGCGTCCCGTCGCCACTCTAGCGCAGGCCTGGCCGCTCACTAATGGCGCTCGACTGCTAAATTGGGAACAGGTTGATGGGAGCCGGCCATCAAGTCCCCTGGCTCTAGTGCAGATGCTTGCAGGGCCATCCAGGGCTTTTGCTCTCGGTAGGGCTCTGATACCGGCTGACGATGGGCAAGTCTCCTGAAGTGGCCAGTGCTGGCTGCTGGCCTAGGAGACGCGGCCTGCATGGATGGCCAACAGCCGAGAGCACATCCAGGCACGGATCAGGGGGGGCTTGGCGCCTCGACGACGGCCAGACGGGGCACGACGGATGGCGCTCAATCTCAGGCTCGCGTACCTGAGGAGGAAATGCTGCTAGCAGTAGCATTATGGAGCACGGCGCGGCGGGACTTAACGGCAGTAGTGCTCGTAGTATGATTTGATTCTTGTGCTGCCCTACCAATCGCATCAGTGTCAGTATCAGCATCGGTACGGAGTAAGGTATGGAGCAGGAAGACCTAATACGAGCATGGCGTACAGTATGAAGTGGCAGCGAGTGAGAGTGCTGCATTGCTGCATGTCCGGTATGCACGAGCAGATATGGAGCACCTGTAGTTGAGCTGTCGAGAATTACAAGTCGCATGGCGTTTTGGCCAAAGCGGTGTGCCGAATCTGCATGTCACCCAGTACCTATGGTCCTAATGAAGGAGAGCTACCAGCAGATGGTTTGCCCGTTGCAGAGACACGGAGAGAAAAAAAAATGCAAGGGGTTGAGCACTCGTCAGCAGATGCAAGGGAAGTCCATGATCCCAGATGTTAGCAGCTTAGCACCCAAACTATCAGTTGACAGAAGGATACTATTTGGCGGGTGGGTGAAGCTTGTGGCTCAGCACCAGGAACCATTGGCGCCATAGCAGCGCTGGCCGGCACTAGCCTAGTGCATTTACTGCCCGAGCTGCTATAAGAGCAGGCTGGCGATGCCTCCAAAACAGCTCAGCTATAGTTGATACCTACAACACAACTACAGGGACCCACGAATAGATTATCTTGGGTAGTTATAAACACTCTTAATACTGTTACAAAGTCAAGCCAAAGCCCTTCAAGTCTGACAGCGCAGCGTGGAGGACAACTGCTAAGCATCGTGTGAGATCTGAAATGCGGTTGAGTGAGACACTGGAGCAGCCGGTTACCACCAGCTCAATCCGCGCTATCATCCGAGCCTGCTGGTGGGTAACGTCGGAGACGATGATCAGCAGCAAACCCCGATCTCTGCAGTCGAGACACGCCGATCGCTCTACACTTCGAGCAAAGCCGGACTCGCATGAGAGATGGCATGAAAAATCCAGACCGAAGCGGCGCAGTCACCCTCTGAGTACTACGTTGTATCGGTTGTGCCATTGCCTCGTAAACGAGCGTCAACTCTACTACCTGCCAAACCTAATGTACATTGCTCTGCCCAATATTTGCAATTTTCACGCCTTCTCAAACTCCCATTGGTAGCTCCATACAGACCTACATATACAGTACCAATGCACTACTGCTCTCCTGACGCATCTCAGGTCGTACAAGTGATCACCATAGCTTTACAGTAGCCTCGTTGCCGGTTCAGGTACAGGCACTCGCTGCCGGTAGAGCTGCATCTGAGTCTCTAGTGCCGCAGCCGACGCTCTGGATACAGGTGAATGAAGTCGGTGGCTTGCACTATCGGCGCCGGCACGACGACAACTCCAATTTTAGCAGCCCAGCGCCGCAAAGCAAATTATGGCCAATGCCATCTCCGATCGTACCTGGAATACGGGGCGTGGGCCAAGGTCCGCTAAAGAACCCGGATATTACTACCTAGCATTACGAGGACCCAGCCGTGCGTATACATGCTGTACGTGTACAATACTGGCCCAGAATGGTCACAATATTCGACGTGTTCTCTTTACTTGGATACAACAGCTCATGCTAGTTCTTCTCTTTCGCATCCATATGTTGCTCGCTATCAATGATAATCTCAAAGATGGTGGTCAGCTTGCATGGAGCTATTCGAGCCATGCGATGCATTGTGATCGACCACGGCCGCCAATTGGGTAAAAAGCCAACTTCGCCGTAACGCACATACATTCAATTACAGCGCCATGCGAAAAGTCTCTTGTGGGCTAGGCAAAGGCATGTAATCCTGGACTTTCATTACTTGCAGCGCTCTCGCCCTATTGGCCTACTAATCCGCCAATTTTTTCCCTCCAGCTGAGCTGTGGCTATGGCGGTACCAAGCGCAGGGGTATCGTGGACTCTTTCATTTCGGCGGGCCTTGGCTCCGTATTTCTGCAGCCGTTAACGCCTCCGCCAAACGTATTAGCGACAACTTGTCTATTTTCCCCCTCCTTTTTTCTTCCTTATTTAAGAAGAGCAAAGCAAACTCAGGGCGATTCTCTTCGTCTACGTATCAAGCCTCGGAGATTGATGAAAAGCTTGTTTCCCCTACTTGTAAGTCAGCCGATTAACATCAATCGATATTTCAGCACAGCCTCGGGGCATTAGCGCTAGCGTCTCGGTTCTGCTCGCGGGCGCAACAACTGCTCTGTGCATGCTTCTCCTACATTTGTCGGGAAATCCATGGTTTCCGCCCCGGTCCGTCTTATCTGCGTATTCTCTCGAGATGATATCGAAGAGAACGTGATTTTTTTTTTTTTTTTTAATTTCATCCCTTTCATACGGGATAGCTTCTGAACTCGTAGCCTGGATTGATATGATACTAGTATCCATAAATCCTCTAATCGCTTATTATGGGGAAGCTCTGGCATTGATAGCGTTTTATCACCCAATTTCGTGTTGTGGGCTTCACACAGTTGGTATTTGATTATAGAACATCGACCCATTTGGCGAACTAGCAAATTCTAGGCAGCATAAATATGATTTTAGTATGGCATATTGCTAAACAGCACTCGTACGAGAATATGGTACGGTTGCTCCCTTGTCTGCGGAAAAGACAAACGCGCCGCCCAGCCGGCAAACTTCATTCCCATAAACCCCAATGTGATAGCCCCATTGTACCCCCATTCACCTCCCCACTATCGAAGTGATCAACAAGATCGGTGGCCCAGAAGTGGATGACCTGCATGCTGCCGATATGATCATCGCACAAGGGAAAAAAACAACAGCCCAGGTGGCGTCAACGCCGAACATCCACGTATTACAACTGTCACATGTCTGCATCTCTCTACACTATCATAAAAAACATTAAATAACATCTCCAAAACAAGACTCATACGTGCAGATTAGATATCAAATTTCTGTCAATCGTCGCGCTTTATAGCTTTCTAGCAGGCGCTCTTAGCGTCCCTTAATTTGAAGAGGCCCTTGGTGCTGTCGCATGACGTTTCTTTTTGATACAATCCTTATACCTAACTACCAATGCCAGCATTTCTAGGATAATAATACGGTATATATTACTCAGACTCACCTATAACAATAGACCAGATACATACTTGTAAATTATGAACATGATGCATCTGTCAATTAGTTTTTTTAAGGAAGCTTAATTCATGTGGTGGATCGATATTGTAAGTATAGAATCTGAGCCCCTGAGAGTTCACCTACTTTTTACCCCTGTGAAGCTAAGTGTCCACGTAGCCAGACGCAAGGACTACATGAGTATCAATAAGTCATATGCGGTGCGTAAAATTCATTTAGCACAGCTATAGCGATGAATATGAAGATGTTTCACTTTAAGATAGATACCGCCGCAGCTCTCATTTAGAAAGCAGTCTCAGAACGTACGACTGTCTATTGAGAGGAAACTCTATGGAGATATTCGCTTATATTGAAGTTCATATAGAGTATAAACAAGTCTGAATATCTTATCATTGTTCATTCGTATATTGCCGTACTAGCCGTTGGTTTAAAATGAGAATAGCTTGGTGGCTATGTACATCAATAGCAGTATAATTATGCGAAAATAAAAGCTGCCTGAAACCCCCCCAGTACCTATTAGACTGCTATTAGCCATATAACGCGGATGCCGTTGAGCAGGAATCGAACCTACAGGTTACGTGTAACTACTCATCGTGCTTCCAGCACCGCCTTCGTCCTCTGGAGAACGAATCTGGGCGTTGGGAGTGGGAGCAGCGGCAGCCAGACTGGCCGCAGTAGCATAGCCGATAATAATGTAGGCAAAAAGAAATAGTGGGTAGTTTATTCAGTGAAGGCTGTTGGATCTGAGAATACCAAATATGAGAAGGTGGACGGAGAGTTTAAATATATTTGTAGATATAAGAGGATATAGAAGTGCGGTTATAGTGCAATGTTTCGGCGAGGGGCTCTATCTCACACTTCTGCACTGGAATAGGATACTTCCTCTTTTCCAGCAAATGATCAAGTGTGGAAGGGAAACTGTCATCAAATGTAATATAATAGGTAACCCTGCTCTGGAAAAACCAATGGTTACAAATGTATTACTCTCAAGCCTGTCTTCTAGGCGTCAGGTCGGATCTCTTTAACAGTCTGGGTGACAAATTTAAATACTGATTCGGAGCTCCTGTTAGGTGCAACGATTAATAATAATACCATCTGTAAATCCTGCTACTTCAAATGGCCTTCAGTTGAAGCACATAAGTTCTAGCAAACGTCAATGTGGGTCATTATTGGCTGGCTGTTACGTACTCTGCGGTAGACAAGGTACATTAATTTACTTAACATGTACACAACAGAACTGGCATTTGTAATATGGTATATGATCTCTGTTGTAGAGCTTTTAGAAGTACTTTACCTTCACCAAAATGCTAGAAACTAGTATGCTTTTACTTATTCTGGCCATAGCAGAGGCAAACTGCAGGGACTCTAGTTTAGAAAGTAAACCATGATTACGCATATATTCTCAGGATATTCTGCCTATCCAATAAAGGCATGGTCGTTTCTATGTTCGATTTACAGCAGAGGGTTACATGCGTATGGAGTGCAGTGATCTAGCGACGCAATAGCGTGGCGTTTATGCTTAACCAGCCTATGATCTTCGTAGCATGTGGGGTATCGAATACTAGAGAGGTTTTTCTAAGAATAGTATATCCTTGACAAGGGACAGGAGGGCTGTTGCTTCTCCTAGTCTAACGTTGGGTTCTCCTGGCTTGGACTTGTCGTCGTGCTAAGGCCTTCCAGAGGTATCATCGAGCAATAGTCGATGAAATTGGCTCACCGATTCTCGAACCGTAATCGATAACTTCCATATTTGTTACATATTATCTATGGGATGCAGTCTATGTAAATACTGATACAAAGCTAGCATCTTGGAGGATAGTTCGCTGCCTCACTGGAACTGGTACGACGTATCATCAATGTTTAGCAAACGCCGTCCAGTAATGAGCACTTCATTCGTGTTAAATCGAGGAGTGTGTCATGACCGAGAGATTAAGATGAGATATTGTACTTTTCAGTGAAAGATGTTATAGCTTTATCAGCCTAACCATCTAGATATACTTTCGAGAATCCTTGTCCCATATAATATCTAGTACGCTAGGGTATAGAAGAGGCTAGCTCATTCAGACATGTATTCTACCTAGAACTTCTACTTAATATCAATCGTCAGGGCAGAAATCCAGTCTAAGGTAAACAAAAAAAAAACCCCCCAGAAAGCCCTTTTTTTTCTAACGAAAAAAACAGTCGCTTATCCTCTAATGCTGACTATTTTATAGATATTCTCTCTAGCATTTCATCGTGACTCCCTTTCGCTTCTCCGACTCTCTAATCTCAAACATGATCTGGATACCTACAAATAGACAAGATGATGCCGTGAGGATAAAGAAAACTCCTATTAAATCATCAGTAAGTTAGTCAAAAGAAAAAAAAACACTCAATGAAAAGATAACTGGTTCAACTTACCGGACCAATCATGAAGGATGCTGCTAAGAATACTACGCAATCCATCCAAACCAACTGCAAAGCCAACCAAGTTGGCAGAAATCATCATGAGAACATTTCCAACAGCACCAATGCAGCAGAGCATACGATACTCCGTAGGGCGGCTTTCCCATTTCCTCTTCGGGAAGAGGTAAGTGGCGGTCCATTCCGGCACCATAAAGATAACAATGAGCCAGCCCCAAATAAGCAGACGAAGCTTGATGTCGTGCCAGAGGGCAACAAACGTGAAAACAAGGAGATATGTGACGACAGATTTCGCCGAAGATGCCCAGCTGCGGAACGAAGAACCACCGAGCGGCACGTAAATATAGCGGATGATCCAGCGATTATACGAGCGATGCCAAGCGCGCCAGAATAGCTGCGTGCTATAATTATTGCTCACACATCGAACCATATTCTCAGGAGGGTCAATTCCATCCACCAGGGCCCAAAGTCGGAACATACGCCAGGGAAGAAGAAGCTTCAGCCAGATGATGTGAAGGTTGAAGAAGGACAAAAGGCTGAGCTGGGCAGCGGTGTAATCACTCCAAACGGGAGCTGCTTTGCTAATCGCACCGACATAGTCAAAGTGTAGGATGAGCTCCATAGAGAGGAGCACGAGCAGGAATCGAATGCCGTATCGAATGGTGCGCGGCCATTCGATGCTCGCGGCGCGATATTTGGCCTGGGAAATGTAGTCGTTGAACGTCAGGATTGGACCAGCTATATATAGCGGCGCATACAATGCGTACGCCAAGTAGTTTCGAAACGAGAAATCTCTAATATCGGCGGGGATCGAAATTCGGTCGCGCTCGGAAAGACTAGCGGGATCCAACCCCTTCTTCTTGGGTGTTATTAGAGACCAAGCACATTGGATGCAGGGGAGAACAAGGAGCTTACCTCAAGAGTGTTGACATGGCGCTTATCAATGCTCCAGTAGTAATCCATGTTGAAGCTGATGAGCCGCAGGATGGTAATGTTGAAAAGAATATCCCAGCGCTTCATGATTCCACCCCAGTTATCCAGCCAGTAGCCCCAATGCGCCAACGGTCCCCAAGGAGGGCCAACCCAATTGGCCAGGAGCTGGAGCCTGTATCCCATGGTCAACTCATTGGCGAACAACGTGCCGACGTTGAAGATCCATGTTGCCGTGGGTACTTGGTGCCGGGGCAGCTTGGTTGCGATTTGATAATTGATTGCGAGAATGGTAAGGATCTTGAAGGCGGATATGCCGTGCAGGATGACAATGAAGATGATTGCAAATACAAAGTCGAATGTAGCGCGCTGGTCTAGTCTCGCCGAGCCTCTTGCGCCTCGCGCCGATGGTTTATACACAGATTCCCACCCTTTTCTCAGCAGCGGGTGGAATATCAAAAGACACGTCAAGATGGGGAAGTTGCCTCGAAACGTCTGGTATTGCGCATCGGAATTGTCGATCTTTCGTCCAGGGATCCATCCTTCGGACAGATATCTCTCATATTTGGGGTACCTCGGGTCAGAAGCTGCTGGATTGTTAGAGCGTGTCGATGAAGGTACACGGATATGGCGCTTGCGTGGCAATACGCAAGCAGGGGGAGGGCGCTTCTCACGTTTTGAGACATCATATGCTATCCAGAACATGTACGGGACAACCACAATAAAGACAAGGTAATAGAGGAAGAACTCTGGCGTGCGCCATTTTGGCGGCGGAGCCGAGCTTCGAGCTTTGGCTGCAGCCTCTCTCTCTGCGATCGGGTCGCCGCGAGCATCGATGACTGTCTGGTATGGAGCGGAAGATGGGCTCGTAAATCGGGTGTCGAGAGTGTCGAGGTCGTAGACCTTGCGCAGGTAGGAAAGGACACCCATGGTGGTTGGTCTGGGTCGCGCGAGACGGACTCAGCGCATGTTGGCCTGATTGGATGTGAGGATGCAAATGGACAAGCAGCAAACGGCCGAGGCTCTGGATTGACCTGCAAGCTGTCGTTGTCTCGTGAGGCTCGAGAGAATCAGCGGCCGGGTGGGGCAGCATCTCAGCAAGCGAGGCCCCTGAATCCTCGGCCCCAGATTTGCGCAGTCCAGCATTGCTGGTGCTGCCGCTAACAATGGGCGGCTCTCCATATTTCGAGCTCTTGATCCCAATATTTGCTCCTGCACATCACTGGCTCCATCTACCCTAACAGCCAATGCATTTTCAAGTCATAATTGCGATGGGCTGGTATTGTCAAAGTGTAATGTGTGAATTATAAGCGGAGAAATAGTAAACAAAGTGTAAAAAAGCATGGGTGCTGGCGACTGGCATTTGGGTCTATCTCATCTGGCGATAGTGCAAATAGCTCCATTTGGTACGAAGCAGGAGATACCTACCTAGTTAGTAGTGCCTTAATGTTCTTTTTGTGTTCCATAAAACGCATCACAGACTTGCCTAAGTCGAGCTTATGCACTATCAAGCAAATTTATAACAGTAGTTGACAGAAGATACCAATAGATGCCTTTCCAGGCTCAAAAAAAGCCACCGCCGCTACTCACGAGTGCTCTTTGTGCAATTACGCCAAGTGGCAACAACAGACGCTGCCTGCACTCGGCTACATGCAGATGTGGCTCGTATTGGCACAATTCCACCGACGCATACGAAGCACAGCCCCCAGCAGAATCAAGCAAGAGCAAATGATCACGCAGCCAATATCTCCAAGACCGCCGTTGGCATGATTTCATAAACCGCAAGGCTGAGGCGACACACCAGCCCGCCAGTCAGGACGAGACAGATAAGCTGGCGTCAAGCGTACCAATGTGCTGGCATGCTAGAAAGGTCACGCTGGTGTGAGGGGGTGCCATATATTGTATTCCCAGAGCGTGACTTCGCCATCTGCTGCACGATGATCCAACATATTCGCTCTCTACTTTTTAAGCTTCGCCCTGCCAGAGCTTCCCCCTCCCTGATGAGGCGTCAAGTCAATCAGACAAAGGACGAATCGGATCCTTGCATTTCTGCAGTCCAGCTGGCGGCCTGACTGCCCCTCAGAGCTTGCCAGGCTTTCTTTTTCTTTGCATGGCTGAGCCACTCGTATGTGGCCTAAGGTTGTACCAGTCGAAAACCTGAAAGCTGAGAGGGAAAAAAATAATTGCTTGCTCAGGCCCTGCATCAGGCGTGTGACGCCGCCAGAGTTGAGATCGTTCACCACTCTCCTCTTCGCCTCCACGCCTGTCTCGAAAATATCTCAAGTTGCATAGAAAGCTCTTGTTGGCTCAATATTAGACCTACCATATCGCTATAAAAGGCATCAGGATTAAGCACTCTAAAATCCTCTCGCTCCAAGAAGCTCGTGTCCCGAGACGTCAAGGACAGTCCTTACCATGTGTCAAGTCAAGCTTTCCATTTGTGTCCACTGCGCCAAAGTCTTCGGGGCCAAGATGAAGTATTGCGATACGGTCCAGGCCGCCATATCGGTCACGGACAGCAGTCCGTTCGAGATTACCTCATCGTTCAATTGGTCCCCCATGGAAGGGTGTACTGGACTGAAAATCCACCACACGGCGAATCTCGACGCTTGTAAGGATGATGTGTCCCGATCCGAAGCGCCGTTTGAGCGACCTGCTGCAACGAGACCGAGCGCCAGAAGCCCCTATCCAATGCCAACGATGATCCAGCGGACGGAGATTCGAGAGCAACTTCCCGCCCCTCCTGGGATGGAAGAGCATCGGGCAGTGGCTTCGGTGCCGCTTGGGTCGGATATGCAACCGCAAATGCAGCTGCAGATCCAGCAGATGCAAGCGGGACCCTCGACGAGAGAAACTCTGACAGCTAGTTCGCCGAACTCTTCGTGGTCAGGCTCAACTGTTTCTTATTACTGAATATGAATCATGGGGCCGTACCTTGTGCTCCTCCAGTCCCATGGTCTTCTTTTCCGCTCTCACATATCGCCGACCTGTATCTGTACACCGTATCAGACCAGCAATATCGATAAATTAGCTGCAGAATTCGGGTCTATATTGAAGATGATTGGAGCCCTATTCTCTCCCCTACCACTTGTTGGGTCGCCGCCCCTGGTATTATCAGTCAAACAACGCGTCAAAGTTGGCCGAAGGATGCAGCCGAAGCTCCCATAAAAGCCTTTCCGTGCTTCAAGGAGGAGCAACATATGTCAAATTTAGAGAAATGGTGGGGACATGCCCCGGTAGAACGAATATCGATCAAGTGATCTAAACAGGATTTTTCAGAATTTTTCTCTTACATCTCTCGAAAAATGGTGTGGGCGTAACTCTGGCAGGAGAGGCACTACGCCCGAGATTACGAAGCATGGGGTGATAAGAGACGAGCTGGCGGTGCAAGTGAATCCAAAAGGAGTGTGATATTCTAGCTATTCATGTGGTGTGTGGTTTATTGTGTCCTTTTCCACTGTGGCAGAGCTGCTGCGGGACCTACTGGCTTAAAGGTTATATCAGACAAGTTCTCCTTTTTCACTCGCACCTTGTGTGAAAGGCCCCCAACGATGATTCCTCTTTTAACTGCATTTCGTTAGCCGTGGGCTGTTGGATGGCATTCATACACGCTTTAGCCAAACGGACCCGTGAAGTTTTCAGCCAAAGCCCCCATTCTCATTCAGGATTCTTGCCTTCAGAGTACGAGCGGGTTTCCTCGTAACGGAACCAAAGTACTTGAGTAGCTGAAACGAAGCGCTCAATAGTGTCTCGAGCATGTAGACTTGAAATGAGTATATATTTGGCTCGTACAGCCTTGGGGTCCGCACGGCAGGATCCAAGATGGTGGTCAACCATGATGATCAACGGTGACGAATAGGAAGCAAAGGGACCACTTGGCAGGAGCTCTTTGCGGCAGCAGCCTTTCCACCAAAACAAACCGCGGGTAGACTAGAGCCACGGCCAGGGAGGAGACTCGGACAGGGAAGAGCCTCGGCCAACACCCATTGTTCTTTGAGCTCCGGCCTTTCCATATGCGGAGCCGCTCCACGCATTCGTGCTCTTCGGGCTGGTATTCCGTGCATAGTACTGGGTCTGGTACCAGGTTCAACAGTTAAAAGCACGTTCCGTGGAAGGCTGCTCGTGATACAGTATACCAGCATTCTTGATGCAAACTGTTGTCACTGCTGCGTATTTTCAACACCACTTCTGCCGCTTTAGCATCTATTTTGCTATATATGGTACCATACCGTAGGTTAACACCATAAACAGATACGTGGGTTTAAACAAATCGATGTGTGTGCAGGCTGTACGGGTACATGTACACGACCATGCAGTTTAGGAAGATTATAGCAGGATTAACGCCCATATAGCCGCCTATATCGTCAGCGTCCCACACGGTCAGATGCATGCCAGATGACATGTTCCCAGCAGCAATGAATAGAGTATTTACAAGGGTTCTGCCGCCTCGAAGCTTACTCGTTACATATAATTCTCGGCGGCCCTACTCCGCGCATGCATCGGATGGATGTCACCAATATATACAAGTAGCACTGCCCGCAAGGGGGGTGTTGTTGGGTCTGGATGGAAGTTTGTCGGAGTTTTAATTGGGGACCCAACCGTGCGCGCTATTGAAGGTCTTATAGCCGATCAGTCGGCCGTCTTCTCTATGTGCGTCGAGTCGGCGTTTGGTTTGGAGGCGCTCATGAGGGCCACGAATCGGCTGCTGGGACGACACCGTTGGGTGTTCAGTGGTGACCTGGGTGGAGAGCCGCCGGAAGGGATCTTGAAGATCTTTAGGCAAGCCCTTGCGATGTTTTGCTTGACAGGTTATAATGCCTATTGCTTAATATCCATGGGTCACAAGAATAGGCAGTAGTAGAGTTACTAGCGTGAATCGCACCTAGGTTGTTACCAGGTATTGGATGGCGAACCGTTTACAGTCATCTCCGCCTTGATTCGGTGGATCGCAAGTAGAGCGTGCTTCAGCTTGATGATCGCTGTTCTGGATACTGTCCTAGGAGCTTGGCGGGTGTGACGGACGTGGCCGGGAAGACAAGATGCCAGCCCAACAGTTACTCGTACTAGTTACGTGTTACTTGCAGCTGGAAGTAGTACCTACTATCATCCATGGTCTGCCAGGGTAGACTTTTGGATATCTTCTATTCTACATCAGAGCCACTATCAGGCAGAGAATGGCACGGCGGATGGCATACAAGGGCCAGTGGCCCCATGGCTGCAGGTGACTGACATCGAACAATGCCGTTGTTCAGCGGGCCTCAGTGGTGGCTGTCGCTCGGTAGCGGCCGCCGCTTGCCCGCCCGAGGAAATGGACAAGCGCGCCGCTAACGCCGCTAGCTGTGGCCCTGAAGCTGGGCTCTTTTCTGGGAAACAAAGCTCAAGCCATCATGCTTGGCAATGAGTTTCATTGATGGCTTGGCCGCGGATTGCGATCGACTCGCTAAGGGCTGCTAGTCATCGCTTGTTTAATATCGATACTATAAACACCCATGGGGCTGCTGGTTTCTATGAATAGGCTCTTAATGCTAATTAACAATCGGGTTATTTCCTTAACCCGCACAGGTGGGAAAGCCGGCTATCTCTCAGCACTAGGCATGTTTGCCAACAGAATGGACAAATTATAAACCGGCCGGCTTCTTTTGTTTTCCGCAGGCATGGATGCCTCGATGAGTACCGGGTACATGTACAAGTGAATTTTGCCGCACCTGCTGCAGCTTCTGGCATTATTGGCAACGGAAGCGTGTACCTGCAGATGCCTCTTTCAGCAACTACTGCGTTCCGGCAACCTCATGAGCTGAGTTGAAGCACTGGAGCTATGGACTATGGGCTATGGGCACGGGATAGCATCCGTGCATCAACCGATTGATCAGTCAATCACCCTCGTTGCCTACTGCAATTTCAAATAACACGAGTGTTTGGGCCAAATTTGATGTGGGCTGGCGGGCCGACGTCATCCGCATCTAACTGTGGCAGCGCACACGAAGCCAATTGTGCACTACCTTATGTCGTACATTAGCTATTACTACTAGGTAGCTAGTAGGGAGGCACCTACCGGGCGTAGTACCTGCCTTTGCAAACTTTGGCCACCATTGAGATTGTCTCTAGCTTTGCTCAACTTCCCATCATCTTCATCATCGTCATTGTCACCTCCTCGGACACTTTTCTGCGGTGCGAGCGCCTGCGTCGGCCGAGACGTGCCGCAGATGCGGCCTAGCAGGGACTGCATTGGCTGGCTGAACGGCAAACCCATCCAATATCTTAGTTCCCTGCCTTGCCCGTTGCCACTGCGGTCATGGCGCGGGATGGGCACGTAGCACCGCCAGCGAAGACACTTTTTGCATCTTGTTGTATCACTAACACTTTGACTCTGTATGGCCCCGATTGGCCAACCCGCGTTGAAACAATGCCCAGCTAACATATCTGTCCAGTTGACGTTGGCCGTCAATCAATTGCAGCTCTGTGCCGCTCGCTGGTGGGTGTCGCCGGCACTACGTCTCGCTCGGTGGAGCGCCTGAACATCCAGCATCCACTGTCTCGTCCGCTACAGTTTGGCCGACACAGCGGCCAATGGCGCCACAAGCCGCTCGGCCCACGCCCGATCACCGATGGCGGCGTTTGCTCTCGCCCGCACCGACAGACGGCGATAAGGCAGGTCGTGGATCTGGATACCCACTTCAATCTCGTCCATCTCATGCTATACCGGGCCCCTTGTCTGGGCGCCTGAGTCTCTCAGCGTTTGAGTATGCTGCTAAACTGCTGCTGCTTCAACTAGGGGCTCTGGCCGCCACTACGGCTGCTGCTATTTCGCATGACTGATGGGCGTGTAAAAGCCTGTGCGTCCGCCTCTCGAAAGATGGCTGCTTCTAATAAACTCTTCTTCCTCTTTCTGTGGGACTGCCTTAAAGGTAGATCTTGCCCTTGGCCTTGGATGCGGCGACCCCCCGGCACATTGATCGAAGCTTCCGAACCCGCCTACCCTTTTGATGGCGGTCTAACGCTGCCATCGACTCCCCCCTGGCCGAAGCTAATCATGTTCTGTACCCGAACCGACTTGGACTCTGTCTTGTCTCTTAAGATTTAACCGTGTCTTCAAACATTCATCGCCCGCCAGTTGGCATCCTGCACCACCGACCCTCGCACGACTGAGACCAAGAGAAGAGACCTGCTCAGACGAGTTACACCATTTCATATCTCATTTGCGCCGATTTGAAACCGCTACTCAACCTCATCGACGCCTGCAGCGTTTTAGACCTTTTCAAACTGCCCGATTGTGGTCAGGTGCCGTCAGCGAGTATCGCATGCTGCAACACCGATTTGAGTGTTGTGTGTTGCGATATCAGACCGTGTACGATACACCGGTCCACCAAGTTGCATGTACGTTGGTTCTGCCCTTCTTACAGACCCATCATCCTTGCTTTGTCCTAGTTCTACAATCTGCTATTAGCATTTACCTGTCCTATCCTCTTATCAATCTCCGTGATGCCAAGACCCACGTTTATTGCTGCTGTCACATGAGTTACGACCACACACGCACGCACACCACACACACCCTCAGTGCGGGAGCGGATGACAAGCTTTTAGCCATGGGCTACTCCTTCTTACAATTTCTGCACTTATAAATCCTGCACCTTCATCTATTGAGTTTCATCCGAAAGCCAAGGTTGCTCACAACGCACTTCTTTCACTTCATTTCTTTCATATGTCGTGTGTGGAACCACATTGCAGAACCTCATCTATCCAAGTTGTATAGAGAGAGAAGGTAATGCCACACAATTTGTGTATTGTCGACTCACTCTCACTTGCCCAAACACTGAATCGTTTGTGACATTTCCAATTCTCAGAAACCCTTATTCTCAATCATCGTGTTCTCCTCATCACCCTTTTCAACAAAGCCAGTATATATTGCGGCTCCTACACCCTATATCAGATCCTCCACTCTACGGATGGGTATGGTGACACTCACTCACATGTAGTCAGTAATGGGCTTTACATTTGGTATCTAACACATTCGATAGATTCCAGAGACTCACGGGCACCCTCTAGGTCTAAAAGAGAGAAGTCTAACAAGTTATACGAAGAGCCTACCAGATCAACCATGGATACCGATCCAGTCTCCTGCAATATGGCGTCAGCATTTTACGAAATAATGAAAGAATCTGGACTCCAAAGGCAGCTGGAGCGTGGATGGGGAAACAACTACGCACATGATGGTGCGGCGGATTCCGCATCATCACCCACTTCTGATTTTGGTGATACCAACCAGTCCAACCGATCACGGTCTCGGCAAAGTTCAAAAGTATCATCTCCATCAGGATCTCGCAGAGTGGCACAAAGACGAGATGGGAAGCGCCTCAAGAGCCCCAAGTCAAAGAAATCCGGAGGAAGCGAAGTCAAGGAAGAAGATGAAGAAGAGACCATGGAGGATATCCAAGCCATGCCAGAATCCGGTAACCCGTACTCTCTGAACCACGATCCTCAGACTGCGGCGACTGGAGAGGACCATCGGACCTCTGGTTATAAGCTGAATAGGGAAGACTACGCAGACCGTGAATATCTGAGAGAGCTGGACTCGGAGCTGGATACTCTTAGAAAGCACTTGCTCCAGCGCGCCAATCCTCCCAGATCATTTCCCTAATGATTCACCTCGCCACCCTCTGTTGTGACAGGAAGCGCGTGCACAGAAAGGACGGATACCAGATGCATTTGTATATCACACGCATTAACAGCAAGCCTTTGCTTTTACACTAGAAAAAAAAACCAAATGGGGCGCTCAGGAGTTTATGAATTTGGTTTTGTTTGAATTGATCAGCTAGGTGCAGGAGGGGAGGGGAGGGAAGGGGATCTACAACAAGAAGCTAATTGCATATAGACCATCATGGCCACCGAGAATGAGGTAGTAGCAATGAAACTTTTTGATCTTTCCTTTTTTATTTTGTTTTGCTCTAGGTTTCGCATGAACAGGCTCTTGGCGATAGGCAACAAAGTGAAAGAATTGGGCCTCATGCATGTGCATGATATGGCTGAATGGGCTCGCCGGCCGGCTTGCTTCATGCAGAGTTCTAGTCAAGGCATAGCATCGGCCGAGAGGGGCGGCTATCACATCGGCCGCTCCTTGTTCCCCGAAGCAGAGTGTGGCGTACGACCCTCCCTGCCGAGGATTTTGAACATTGTTCGGTCGAATGCCCAAAGGCGGGTACATGGGGTAGACCTGGCAGCAGAACAGGAGATGAGAGCTGAACATAACGTAGTAACGAAGGCAACAAAGAGACAATTCCGTGCTGCGGAATCGGAAGATTTTTGGTAATTTTCCCCGCCTACGTAGCAAGTACAAAATAGTATGGAGTAGGCAGCTACTAGCAGTGGCAGGGCTTTAATATAATAAGCGCCTCTGAGGGTCCAGAATGCGTGAAAGAGCGGTTCGGTGGAGCATCAGCCGCTTGGGGTGTTTATTAACAAGGACGGAGCAGGTACATTTACAGGTTTCAGGGTACCTACTGTAAACAAATGGACCTACCTACTATGCATGTTGGCTGCTGGGACGCTTGCATCTGCAGCGGGGGACACAAACCGGCAGTTGTGGCGTTGCGGACGGCTTCATGACTGGCCAGTTTGGTTTGTGGCCTCCTGCGTGTGTGTGTATGTTGTATGCAAGGGAAGAAGGGGGAGTGTGTGTGATGTAATTGCAGATGTTGGAGAGAAGAGTAATTACAATCAACAGTTAACGGTAGGGTAATAGAGGAAACAACCGAAACAAAAAAGGGAAAAAGAGAGAGAGAGAGAAATTCAATGGGTGAGACAACGGATGGGATATCTAAGACATATAATCTAAAATAACTAGCTTATTATCAACTCTTCTACCTCTGGGTGGTCTAGTTGGTTCATGGCGTTCGGCTGTAATGGATAACATCTCACCGAAAAGTCGGCGGTTCGATTCCGTCCCCGGAGAGATTATTCTTCCGGAGAAGAGTTACATTTTTTTATTTTTTTTTCCTATCATAAGCATATCTCATTAAGTATATACCGCAGCATTCCTTTTTTTTTTTCTCATTCTTTTTTCAATCTCCCTACTTAACCACCCCTTGCAGCCCTCGTTGTTTTCATCCAACTAGAACATATCTTGCAAAGTTTCAAGCTGAATAATCTTTTTATCACCGTGCTGGCGCTTATATTTCAACTGTGCTTTACGCCCCATAGAGGTAAGCGCTAATGCTTAAAATACAACCCTGCCTATCGATTGGCATACTATTGCTCTTAGCGGCGGGAATGGCCTGCGCTTAAGGAGCTTTAGCTAGGATATTTGGCCTTATAAAGCTAAAATACAGTGACGCTAACAACACTAGCACAGTCACTAAAATGACCGTGCTAGACTTGGGGTGGTCTAGTTGGTTCATGGCGTTCGACTGTAATGGAGACATCTCATCGAAAAGTCGGCGGTTCGATTCCGCCTCCCGAGAATGAATTTCTTTTTTGGAAGTTTTTTCCATTTATATATATAAATAATCGTCATCATTCGCTTTGCGTTTCACTTTTCTTGCTGTGAGTATAGTTGTAGATATTTATTCAGGCTAGAAACAGCTAATAAACCAGCAGTAGATGAGATGTTGTAATTTATAAGTTATAATGCTTTTCTATACTTGTCGAGTGTTCCGGGTGAGGATCATTCTTGCCTATCCCCACATAAAACACAAATAATTATAAGAAGATACAGCAGAAGAAAATTTTATATTTATGAGTTTTATAGAAGAAAAGGGGAAAGAGAAAAGCACTATGAAGTAGATGACAAGGAACATAATTGTCATTATATACCGCTGCTTTAATTTCAAAATATCCACATAGCATCCGAACTAAAAGCTACTCTTGAACGATACTCATATATTATCCACATGATCTAATTTGACCTTTAATGTCTCCTTGTTTGCCCAAAGCGCTGTCTCAACCGCTTCAATGGTTCCTCGTTAGGCCTCAATCTTCGATTCTGATTTCTCCAACCATGTCTCCTCTCGCCAGAACCTCTAGGGGAGTAAGCATTCATGTTGTTGCGCGTTCCATTGCTCACGAGTGGTTGTTGCGGAATAGGAGGAGGAGGAGGATGCTGATACTGCTATGAATGCTGTCGAAGCTGCTGCGGTTGTAGTAGCTGTTGTTGAAGCTGCCGTGGCTGTTGTCGATGCTGCTCGTCTCAGACCTCTGCGGATACTCGCTCTTAGACAGCGGGTGCAGTAACTTCACCTGCAGGGGAGGGGCAATCGTTGTCATTGTGGTCATTGCTGTCGTTGCTGCTGTCATCTCCATCATCTTCACTCTCACCAACTCCCGGTTCAGGGGAGGGCCTCAGCAGAAGCCACTTGTCATCTTCATATATTTCAACACTCAGACTATTGAGTCTTTACTGGGTAATATTTAGGTTTCCTGTGTTGAGGTGTTCTTTTTCTTTTATGCTGTGGATATTTTGGCACTACGGATGAAGTTCGCTTTCCTAGGTGCTGTTGCTGAAGAATTAGACGACTTGAGCCCTCTGCTGGCATGGCGCATTTGCCATGGATTATATAAATCAAGTATACAAAGTTGCAGTCTTCATCTCGCGTCTCACAAATTTACTTCTTTTCTTCTCCTTTGCAAGAGTAATCTTTCCATGGTGCGTACATTGTGTTATTTATTTATATAGATATACCCAGACACACAAGCCTTTCAAACCATCCAGTTTGGTTGATGAATAGCAATACAATCAAGTGCACACACAGTTCTTCTTGGACAGCAAGACCATTTCGGCGCCATAATAATAAAACAAGCCAGTAAAAGAAGAATTAAGAAAAAAATGTCTTAACATAGGACAAGGGTATTTCGCAGTTTGAACAGGCAATGTCCATAATCCAGTTCGTTCTCTGCCCGTGGGCTTAATCAAAAGCAGTTCACGGGTCCATAAATCACAGTTTGGCCATGACGCTGGCAGAAAAAGAAAAGGGGGGGAAGAGAAAGCGCCCCCATGCGTCCACAGCTCCCCCGAAAATATCCACATGCAACTTAATCAGAGATGTCCCAAAAATACCAAAACCGGAAAGGGTTTCCTTTGCCAATAACCCCCCCAAAAAATCCAAGTTACCCTCGACACTCAAGAAATTTGATGCACCCATGCCCATGTACCCGAGCAAATCCCATAATAGCCCAAAATAGGGAACAAGGTAATAATAGTAAAAAAAAAAATCAGGAAAACCAAAAAGCCAAACACCCTAAAAACTCCGTTGCATCAATTAACTCCATCGCTGATATATTCACATGTCACATAAAAAGGTTTCGATAGTAATAATAGCCTTGCCCTTCTGTGTATGTCGGAAGAAGTGAGAGGAAGAAATAAGAGATAAGAGAGCGGGACATGAATATGACACGCAGCTCTTTACAGAAGAAGGAAGAGGGGGGTGTTGAGACCGGCCATTTAGTAGCTAAAATCGACGTGTGCCATGGTGGGTATAGACTCTTTGTTTTCATCCGAGGACGCTGTCGTTATTTCGTTGCCATTACCGTGAGTACTGTGAGGCATGTGGATGGTGACTGAGTTTGAATCACCGAGCGTGGTATCAGCACTTGATTGTGAAGGAGTTGTTTGTAACTCATGATCTGGTGGAGGCTGCGCGCTGGCCGACCACCCTTCGTCAAGCAGTTGCTGGAAGCTCCAGCTGGGCTCGAAATGTCTGCTGTTCCATGCATGGTCCACCCGCTCGTACATCTCGTCGATCTGTTCCAGACTGATTTTGCTCGTTTCATAGACCATGGCCCATACAAAGAAAACTGCGAGAATGCAAAAGGCTCCCCAAATGAAGAAGATTTTGGTTCCAAAACCAGCAGTGCCCGGACCGCTACCTATCATGAATGGTGTACTGTACCCGATGCCAAAATTGAGCACCCAGTTAGAAAATGTCGAGATAGACATTGATTTTGCGCGGACTTTTAGAGGATAAATCTCCGACGTTACGACCCATGCCACGGGGCCCCAGGAGGCAGCGAAGAAGAAGATATTGATGGAACAGAAAACGATGAGTATGGTAGCAGAGGCTGATTTAAGGCTCTCGCCAGCGGCAGCGGCAAACGATGCCATGAGCAGTTGGCAGCAAGCCATACCAATGGCGCCCACAATAAGCAGCCTTCGCCGACCCCAAGACTCAATAACAAAGACACCGACAAACGTAGATACAACGTTGATGATTTGGATGATGAGCGACTTTGTATAGGGGCTGTCAACGCCGGAACCGCCGAAAAACGTAGTGCTGTAATACATGATGAAGTTGATTCCAGTAAGCTGTTGAAGCATTTGAATTCCGCATCCTGTAAAGGTCCGGCGTCCTAGATGAGGAGAGCCTACGAAAATCTCCTTGTATGTGTCTGGACCCAGGCTCAATTCGTACTGGTGATTGGCGACAATTTCCTGGAGTTCGTCAAGAAGAGCCGGATGAGTGATGTCGAGGCGTCGAAGACGGCTGAGTGAAAGACCGGCAGCGTCTTTCTTGCCTTGCTTAACCAAAAATCGGGGAGTTTCGGGGAGGAGAATAAGGCCAGCGGTTAGAATGAGAGCGGGAACGAGTTGAAGACCAAGAGGGATTCGGTAAGCGGCCGATGAGTGGAGTTTAGAGGTGAGAATGTTGATTATAGATGCACATAGGAGCCCTATAGTGATGGAGAGCTGATAGGCGCAAACCAGAGTACCACGAATCCATTTCGGAGCCATTTCAGATTGATACAGTGGGATTAGGACAGACACGGCACCAACACCGAGTCCAGCTAGGCCTCTGGTAGAAAAGGTCAGTTATATTGCACAGTTTAATGGAACAGCGCGCATGCCAAGTGCGGATCAAAGCTTTTGGTGGAGAGGATGACGTTGGTAATGAAAACAGAAAACTCACCTTCCAACCAACAAGGCTGGTAATGCTTCGGCACAGACCTGGCAGATGGCGCCAATACAAAAAATGCCAACGGCGAGGAGCATGCTCCGTCGACGACCAAGCATATCACCAGCGGGAGCGGCGAGGAGGGCTCCAATCGCCGTGCCTACGCTGAGGATAGCGACGATGAGGGCCGAGTCCTTGGCGCAAATGTCGTCTCTGTCGGGCTGGTCTTTACATGTGCCAAACCGTTCCTTGAATTCATTCATGGCGAGAATGCCATTAATGGCCCTAGAAAAGGTGGTTAGCGGTCGATGTTCAATGTTGGTGAATCGAAGTGCGACTGCGGGCCAGCCAGATGCGTGAAGAAATGGGTGATTTCGGGAAATAACAGTCATGCGTATATCCTTCCATGCCACTACAACAACGACAATAACGATATTCTTCTTCCGACTATCTCGCATCGTATATAAACGGTTGTTTTACGATGAAGAGATAGAACGGCCCTGGTGCAGCACTGGCCGCATCGTCACCACCACCGTCAAAACAGAAAAAAAGAATAAGAATCCAACCATCTTCCTTCTCTTTCTCCTCCTCTGGTGTCTCTAAAAGAAAAAGCACAGGAACAGACGACATCAAGTATAACAGGGATCGGAACAATCGGGGCGGCGGCGGCAGGCTGAGCATCGCATTCACGGTCGGTGATTTCACAGAACGGCTTACCCAGTATCATAACCAAAGAGCAGGCCACCGGAAGCGACAAAAAGCCCGACCATGATCGCTGGCGCCGACGAGCCAGCGACATTGTCGGGCTTGTGCCAGCCCATGGCGATGGCCATGGTGACGGCGGGTTTGAAATCAATCCAGGGCTGTCAGGCGTTGCGACGCCCTTCGCCTCGCGGACGGCGGCAAAAGAGGGTGAAGGCTCGATGATGGCGGGTCGCCGGGACAGCGTTTCGCAGGCGGCGAGTCGGGCGCAGGAGGACGGTCGACGGTGGTTGATCAGAGGTCGAAGTCGAATCACAGAAAACGGGTCGGATGAGAGAAAGTGAGAGGCGTGGAATCGCAAAACGGGCGAGAAGTGGGTAATATCCTCAGCGTCCCAGTGGGAAAAAGATGGGGGGGACAGCCGACAGGCAAGGGTTGGACGCCGGCCGGAGTGCGCTAGCAGTGTGACCACTAAGAGGGCCAACTAACACAAGTCGAATGGGCAGCGGTACGGCGAGTAGTGCGAGCAGAGGGCAGCGCTGCGAGTAAGCGTAGGCGGCGCAGTGCTAGCCGGTCGCACAGGCAGCTCGTTTAGCGACGAGGCTTGACCTGAAGCTTCGGCGGCGTCGAGAGGGAGACGAGACGGGACGAAACGCGACGAGGCCAGCGGGGAGGGAAGAGCACTTCGAGAAGGGCCCTGGATTTGTGCCCGTGGGCGCGGGAGCTGGAGCTGCGATTTAGTGGGCCGCAAACGTGATGCGCGCAGCACGACGATCCAGATGTGGCAGCAGGCGACGAGAGAAGGGGAGGAAAAGAGGTGCGGGTGAGTGAGATTCGGTCAACGGGCCAGAGGCGAACAGGAAGCGATCAGCAGCAGCGCCCAGCACCGGCCCAGCATGGCCCAGCAGGTCCAGCATGGCGCTGGGCGGCGCTGATTGGGCCGTGGCCCGGCCTGCAGCGCTCTGTGCCGATGTACACGCGAGTTACTAGCATGGCGCGCCCCACACGGGCTGGCCTGGGAGGGTGGAGGGCCCTGGAGCCTGTCCGTGGCTGTTCTGCCAGGCATTTGGCGTCAGGCCTCTGAGCTCAAGGCTGCTCGAGATGCCGCCGATAGTCTGGAACCAGAGGTGAAACTTGGCACGTCGGTTGTCGAGTTGACAACTGCTAGGCAGACAGCATCTGTGCCGAAACAGTACAGCAGCAGTACGGCACAAACGTGTTGCAATTCATTTACCCATCTAGGCGCCTTCAATAGTATCCAACACTCGCAGCATCATCCATCAAACTTGGCCGCTATGGCTCTTCTCTTATACCGCCATGAGAAAATCTCAACCACTCACGCACTTTGCACGGTGCACCGCTACAAGGGGCAGGCTGCGGATATTCGGTACCTAGAATGTACGTGATACTGTATTACAGTAGAGGCCCATGGCTTGTCCTTTTGCGCTCCTTCATCGGACTTCCACGTAATGCCAGCGCCGACCTTGGCGTGAGTCTGAATGTCCTCGTCGGCACTCTCACCAGAAACCCTCCGTCGGGGCCAAGGCAAGACAACGGCAAGGTACCAGCAGCGCCTGTACTCGGCACGTACTGTAGTCCATTATCCATCCTCTTTGTGCGAGCATCCGCACGCAGCTCATATTCGCCGCTAATCGCTTGCTCTGCTGGGGCTCTCCCACCCTCCTTCGCCTGGCGCCATGCCCGGTTGGGAGGCTCGCTCGACGCCACAGAGGAATGGAATTCCGCCTCCCCTGCCACCGGACCAAGGAACCTAGCCTAAGAGCAACTCTGTTTGCGAGACGGAGGGAAAGAAGAGAAGAGAGGAAAAAAACTGCATCCCTCCCCGGGCAAGCCTCGCCAACAGCGCCCAAACATTGGCCCGTTCTGCCTCCATGAGGGGAGGAGAGTCTCAATACGCCGCTAATACGATATAGTGCCTCTCCGGTAGTGCTCTGTGAGAGCTGCCAAATTCGCAAGCTGCGCTGCCGGTGTGCAGCCTCCTCTGCCTTTGAGAGCCTGGTCCGAGTACGAGCGCAAGGCACACCCAACATTTATCGATTGGGCATCATGACACTCTGCATAACAGAGTGGTTGCTGGTACGAGGACTCGAGACATACACGGGCCCTCGTCAGCCACACCACCGCTATGACGCCGTTACAAGGCACAGGCAGCACGTCTCATGCCGTACTCCGAAATACCTGCCTGCCTACCTTGCTCTCTCTTGCCTGTCCCAGTTACTAATCCATCTGACTACAATTAATTCAGTGGCAAAGGTGGTTATCCAGGAACTCGGCCATCATCCTTTTTGGCCAGATGTCCCAGACGCCGCTCAGATCCTTGTCCAGTGTAAGAGGCCCAGAACGTCTCATAGCGAGTCCATGGCATGGACACAAGACTGACACAGATGAGAGTGGAGCGGTGAATGCAGTCCTCAGGCTATCGAGGCCATCAGCACTTCGGTTAGCTGGGCTGGAGCGGACTTGTGGCTCAAAGGCCAAGGCCTACAGTTATATTGAGTGCCAGTTAGCTGCATTCGGCCGCCCGAGTGGCTTTTTTAGACCCCTCTTGTAGGTGCGGAAACTGTAGTCTTGGGACTTGGGTTCCCCCCTTGAGAAGTAGGTATCTGCCCGCAAGCTGGAGTTTGGTGCGGCACAGTATTCTCAGCGCCAGATACACTCCAAGCACCAGGATGCCTTGCCTCGGCTTTGGGGTGCCGCCAGAAGTACCACTACTTCTCGTCCTACGAGGACGCAGTTGACTCATCCTGACACGGCAATGGTAAGAGGTCTCTTCTCTGTAGAGATACCTCTTGTTAGTGCGAAAGGCACACGTGTGGAAAATAGGTACAGTAGCAGAGCCCTCGCACTTGTAGACTACGTTCTCCGCAGCCCGCAGCGCTTACAATCAGCCGATACAGCAGGAGGTTTAAGATGCCCGAGTTTTTATGGACCAAGCTGCCTGTATCTCCGAGATATATATGAATGAAAGAGAGCAGACTGGCCGGTTCTTCAGATACAAGCACGGCAGATACGGCATCGAGGCTGTATGACGGTGACACGAAGTGGGATGCCCTGGGTATAGCCTGACTAACAGGCTCACTAGGTGCTAAATGGATTTCTCATCGAATAGACTATGGTTTCACCCCCGGTAGGAGTCGAGAGAAATACAAAATAAGAAAACAAATTGTAGCAGGCTGGTTGTTGCACTACAATGGGCCGCCAGAAACGCCATGTTTTCTAGCTGCAGTGCGCTTCGACTCCAACGTGGTACGTCCAAGAAAAAAGGGAACGGGACGCAAATTATGATGCGGAGAAAATCTGGGGAAGAACAGCCAATAAGGGTTCTGCTGGAATTTTTTTTCTTGTTTTTTTTTTTCCTCCTCCTTTCCTCTTTTGTGCCATGTGTCCAGTGCGCCGCACAGTGCAGTACGCCTCTGGGTCTTCCTTGTGGAGAGGTGCCGCGTACTCCTGACTAGCAGGTACCTGCCTGCGGAATGATCTGGGGAAATGGTCATGTGGGCTGCCAAGACCTTGGAGGTACTCCTCCGTACTTGTACTACCGCGGCAAGGTCAAGGGGTACCCAGTCACAGCTCGGCTCGGACACGGTACAGGGGGGGCTCTTGGCTGCTGTTGTTCCCTTGCCTTGCGAATATGCTAAGCATTCTTGGCCGCTGGCAGCCTGCGCTGTCGTTACCAGCTTTGGTGCATGGCCGAGGTGGTGCTTGAGCTGCTGCAGGAATCAGATGCTTGCAGCTTGCAGCTGACATGGCGGCACTTGCGGAGTACACATTCCCGAAAGTACCACGCCGTAAAGGAGACCTGGCTGCTGCTAGCGGTCGGTAGTGACAGCATTAGCGACTTTTTTTTTGAGCGCAATGTCTAGCATCACCTCATGATTTTGATGGAGCCCGCTAAATAGTAGCTGAATATACGAGTACGCATCTGTGTCCTGGTTAGGAAAAGGGGGGAGGAGGGAGAAGGACGGCAGAACGAATAGCCATTTACATGAAGGAAACGCAAAATCAAGATTAAGAATGAAAGGGAAAGGCGCGCTTAAAGCAGGGCAAAGCTTTCAAAGTGCTATTTTACGTTTGCTGCTAATCCCGTTTGCACGTTAGCACCGCCATAAAGCAGGCTGGTACACTGCGCTATTGCTGCGATAGTATCCAATACGCTCTCGATACGCTTATGCAGGCGTTGCATCGATGTAGCACATACAGTATGGTATGGGCAAGATAGACGTGACAGAAAACTCGTCGCTTTTAGGCTGGGCATGTTTACCCGCTTTCTGCTAGAACCAACTGATCATGTAGTGCATTAGTCCTTGTTAGTATAAGGGAAAAAGCAGAACTTGCAAGATGAGTGACATTTTGTTTTGACACAGCGATAGGTGCTAGATTTTTTTTATCTTTTTTGTTTTGTCATGGCTGGTTTTATCTAGTTTGTTTAGGTCATGGTGTTTCTTTCTTGACTGAAGTGATTGAGGTCTCTTTTGTTTTGCGGGCGCCTTTTCACTGGAAGCCTCGGATGATGAGCCCAGCTAGTTAGTATCCTAGACTACCTATGTGGAATCAGATATTGTATCTCGAACGTGTCCCCCCGGAATAGGTACTGCGCAACTTCCTTTTTTTTTTCTTCTTCTTTTTTTCGTGTTTCTCGTTTATCGTGTCTCACGGGATATGACGTAAGACGGTGCCAAATTGGTAAACTTGTGCTAGCGAAGTGATATTTTAGCCGTTGGTCGTGCAAGATTTGGCGAGTGGCTGGGCAGAAGCATCCCAGGCCAGGCTACTCTATGTCGCTACCCAGAGCTTGGTACAAAGGATAAAACTATAATAAATGCGTGTATTTCTGTGAGATACACTCTTGAGATACAATTTAATCTTAACCTAATTCAAATGGCGAATAAGCCAGCCACAGTGAGCAGAAGCCAATAATCGAAGTTTAGTAGCATGAAATAGGGCTGGATGCTGTAGCTACAGTATAAGTTTGATAGCAGATTACCCTGTACGGGGCAATCTCGAGATTCGTCGAGGAGTGCTCGTATGTGCCGGACCCGAAACCTATGTCGGCAGCACCTCTGATGGAAATAATACGGTACATAATTGCCGCGAATTCATCTATTACTCCGTAACGACACCTCCAGAGGATGCGAGTGTGTATTGAATGGGAGGAGCGAGGACATGATACATCATCGCAGAGTCGTACTCTACACGAATCTCCGGCATCAGCCACCCCCCCAGCGCCGGAGATTCTCTCACTAAAACCTCAAAAGAAAGCAGTCATGCATGGTATCATCCAGCACAGTGGAGAAAGGGACAACAAGATAAAACGCCGCAATCGATTGTGCTACGATGTGATGCAACGCTGCGACGATGGCGCAGACGGACAGAGCAGCCCCTTCTCTCTTTTTCTCTCATACAAACAAACACGGAGTAGGTCCCATGCTAAACACGCAAAGAGAGATGCACAGATTTGACAGATCATGCACTTGTCAACCCCGGATCGGCATCACCCCGCATGGGATGGACAGGCGGGCAGTCTAGCGGCAATCGCCAAGCAAACTCTGAATTATTGACTCGGTATGACCCTCAATATTGATTTTTATTTTCCCATCTTTTCCCATCGTAGCTGCAAAAACAACCCCCTTGAATCGTTCCATGTAGCGCCACGACCCAGCAGCGACGGGTCACGAAAAAAAAAGAGGGGACGTGTCCTAGGGCCTTTCGAACGCAGAAGATGTCATCTACACATCCATCACCCACATGTTATGAGTGCGTACCGATAAGGAGCATCCTAACTGGTGATGGCTCCGGGCCTTGATGTCACAGCCCCAAGAAGCCAGAAACGCCCATCTTGTTAGTTCCAAGGGGAAGGGCCGGTTGCCTGCATCGTTCTGGCACTCCCTCCTGTTCCGAAGGCGGGAACTCGTTTGAAGCCCCCCCTTCCCTTTGTTTTTGATTCGATCCGTCAAAATCCAATTCATAGAGGAAAGAATTTTGGGAAAAGAGACGGCTCTAATTTTTTTTATCCCTTTTTTACGATTAAGTCTCCTTTCGGCTCTTTTTTTTCTGCTAGCTTCACATGCTGAGTGAACGCCCGTTATTGCCATGCAGCCATTACGGCGAAAAAGTGGTGGCGGCGTTTTTTGTTCTCTTATACTCTATCTCTGCCAAGGGAACAAAAAAAAAAAAAAAAAAGAAAAAGAAAAAGCCAAATAAGAGAGGGGAAAAAGACAGTGTGTATCATAGGCCTATTATTTGCCCAGAGTGTAGGTAACCCAAGAGTAGCTTACTCCATTCAAATGACAATGAGAATGGCCATGCCATGTATAAGAATGTCACTGCCCATTATTAGCCTACAACAAAAGAGACAACACCAAGGCAATTTACACAGCGCCAACCTTCCGCCTTGTGGCTTGAGGGGAGATTACACAAAAAATCCCGTGGTCTCCGCCAAGGGCCTGGAACACCGCACACGCTTAAAAAAGGTTTCAATCTCGTCTACGGAGTACCTGATGAAATTTTCCAAACAGTGCCGGTTGGTGCAGGATAATTTACGCTGGGAATGTCACGGGGGCTGTGCCTCGAATTCCAGTCTGTGTTCACACGTGATGCCGATGGCAGCCATTCGCAGTGGTATCAATCAGTCATAATAACGCTGATGAAATGCCAAGAGAGTTCACGATGCGGGCCTTGATCAATCTGGGCAAATGAAAGAAGAAGAAAAAAAGAGACGCTTCATCATTCGATTTGACCCAGTACCACCCCCGGCTAACGCACCTTTTTTTAACCTTTCCCCTGATTGTACATCTTAGATGCTTCCCATTTTTTTTTTTTTCTTTTCTTTTTTTCTGGGTCTCTCTCTCTCTCTATAAGCGGGACTCACAAACGCGGGGGCCATCGTTCGATTCCTCGTGCTTAATTCCTAATTCCTCCATGACAAATATGCATATGCACTGAGAGTGTCTGCGTGTGCCGCCCATCCCTTGGTGTGTTTTATGTTTATGGTTCAGTTCAGAAGGAGTAGCTGCTCCGCTGTGACTCCCGTGCTAAGGCGGCTCAGTGGGGAACGGCCCATTCCGTCCTCGCCGTGGAATTTGGAATCTCGGGGGCTCTGAAATCCGATCCAATGGACTGCTGCGAATCTCCGATTTCCATTGCCGACAAGATGGATTTGTCGTTGAACGGTGCTTGACTGTTCAAGCATCTCGGCTACTTATCAAATTATCCATTGCCATGCAACGAGACAAGGTGCAGAGGTGCTCAAGAAAAGCGCAAAGTGCGCCAACAGTGTAGTCTGCATGTCGTGCCGGCGTATAAACTGTCAAGAACAGCGCCTACTTCTTCGCGTCAATGCCTCTACTCGCATGGACTGCCTGCTTAGAGCTCATGAGATCCCTGTTTCAAGTATTGAATGCGTTGAACAGGATCTTGAGAATTGACAATCACGGCCCATTCTAGGCATTAAAAGTCCAAGTTGGTTTCATGTTTAAAGAGAATGTGAAAACATGCTACCACTTTTTAACCTTGGAAAGATTAACAAGGCTAATTAATACACAAGATGTAAATTGTTCAATTATCATACATTCAATACACGGAACAGAAGCACCAAGAACGGGCCACAGCCAAAGTAGCTAACAAGATTTGACATTCCCAACGATGTCCATTACGAGAACAAAGAAAGAGAAAGCAATCACTTGTTGTGTTCCATCAGCATTCTGGATGGATTATCTATCTGTATTTTAGGATACAATATCCGCATTCTGCAGCCAAAGTGCCAAATCTATGATGTGGGTGCGCGTCTCAAATGTACATTTCGATATATTATATCCTGGCACGTGTTCTTTACTCTGGATATTTCCGAAATGAGCGAAACCCAAGTTCGTAATATCCATCTTGATAGCTTGGGTGATACAGGGTATATCCTTTCCAAACAAACGATGATGGATATCTAGATATATAAGCCATACAATTTATAGGGACATCGCCGCTGCGATCTCTCGTTCCTTTTCACATTCAAAAGTAGGTTAAATGAGATATTATTCAAAAGTTGTCAATTAGCAACGATACACTTGGTATTCATTATCACTGTTCACATTCACATTCGATAGCATCCGTTACGACGTTGGCGAAAAGCATTTGATCAAACAATTGATTTATATGCAACTATAACTATCAGTACATTACACATAAAACACACATAAAAAAAACCAAGCCCAGTGCGCCTGTAAAAAGACAATCTAACAGCTCATCGTGATGAGAGCAAAACACATTCTGAGGCTCCGTCCTCACAATGTCATAATGGTATACGCATCTCCTTCTCGTAGATGCCATCATTCGTTCCATCTCCTTTTCCCATTCATCTTTCAGCTCAGGGGCTTATGTTTTTATACATGACATTACATTTCATTCGTCTGGATTTTTTCCTTCTTTTTAGTACTCAAGGGTGACCTTCTGTCCCTTGACGCGGCCAATGACCTGGCTAGGGGCGTACTTGGGGATGACCTCGTCGTCGTGAAGCATAGCAAACTCCTCGGTGGCATCACGGCCCATGAAGTTCAGGATGGCGTTGACACCACCGGGGTGCTCCTCAACCCAGTTGGTCAGGTCCAGGACAACACCCTTGACGACAACCCACAGGTCCTCTCTGGTGTTGTGCTTGGCAACCTCCTCCATGGTGTACTCCGTCTCAGGGATAGAGAAAGCCTTGGGCTTGGAAGCCTCCTTGGGAGCCGCAGCCGCAGGCTTGTCGGCAACCTGAGCGGGGGCAGAGCTGGCAACACCGCCGTTGGCCCACTCGACGGTCAGCTTACCGGGAGCAGAGGGATCGAGGTGCAGGGAAATCTGGCCCAGACGCTGAGCGGCGCCAGCGGTGCCCTGGAGGGCCTGCTGGAAGAGGTAGCTGCTGGCACTGTCACCGGCAACACGGCCGTAGACGACACAGCCAAGCAGCGAGGAACCACCGAGACGGTTGGCGCCGTGGACACCACCAGCCAACTCACCACAGGCGAAGAGACCCTCGAAGGGCTTCTTCTCCTGGTTGAGGACCTCGGCACGGTCGTTGATCTCGACACCACCCATGGTGAAGTGAAGGACGGGCTCCATGAGAGCGACGTGGAAGTCGTCGTTGATGTCCACAGGCAGGTTGTGGAAGAACTTCTTGCCCCAGGGATCCTTCTGCTTGCCCTCAGCAATGGCGTTGTAGGTCTGGAAGGTCTTCTGGAGGTGCTCAGGGGTGCAGCCAATCTCCTTGGCAAGCTGCTGGCCGGTCATCTTCTTCATGAGGCCACGGCCAGAGTAGTGGCGAGTGTGGAAGTCCAGGACGTTGGAGGCCTTGGAGTTGAGGATGAGGCGGATGGGGAACTTGTTCTTGTCCTTTTCCTTCCACATCATGCCAGAGACGTAATCACGGTGGCCGAGCTCATCGCAGAATCGGTCACCATCAGCGTTGAGAAGGAGACCACCCTCACCACGCAGAGCCTCAGCGGCCAAGAACTTCCACTTGTTGCCAGGGTCCTTGGGGTCAACCAGACCAGTAGGGTGGACCTGGACCTTGTCCATGTCAATGCCGTTACCGCCAATGGCCATGATCATCTTCTGACCGTCACCAGTGGCGTGTGTGCCGTTGGTAGTAGCAAGGCCAAAGATCTCGGGGCGGTGCTTCTTGAGCAGAGAGCCCTCACCGAAATCAGCGGCGTAACCACCAGTGGCGAGGATAACGGGGCCGTCCAGGGAGGCGGTCTCGCCGTTGAGCTCATAAGTGACACCAGTAACGGTGTTGCCCTCCTTGTTCAAGCTGGTGACGCGGGCCTTCTTGATGATCTCGACACGGTGGGGCTCGGCCTCGGCAAGCTCCTCAATGCGCTGCATCAGAGCGTAGGTGATGGCCATACCGGGGAATTTGGCATCGTGGCCTCGGTGGGTTCGGGGCTGGGAGTGACCACTGTAAGTCATTATGTTAGCCAAATTGTTCTGCTGGATTGAGAAGCGTCATTCAAACGAGAGAGGAGCCAACTTACCCCAGTCGGGAGACCAGCGTCAGGTCAAGGTTGAACACGTCCTGAAGCCACTCAACGGCGGCAGCGGACTTGTATGTGAGGACCTTGATGAGGTCAGGACGAGCCTGCTCACGAGCAGACTTGAGGGTATCATCGTAGAACTGCTTGACGGAGTCGCGGATGTTGTGGTCGACCTGGGTGCGGGTCAAGGCACCGTTGATGCCGGAGGTGGCCTTGGTAGAGTTACCACCGAAGAAACCTGCGCGCGAGAGTCAGCATTTCGGGGTAAATACCCCCGAGCCTCTCACCATCGCTGTGGAGCGAGAATTGGGCCGGGAATTGCAGTTTTCTGAGGAAAACTTACCCTGCTTGTCGAGGACTACTACGTTGCCACCAGCAAGGTAGATGGTGTGAGCGGCTGACAGACCAGAAACTGTAATGGCATCTCGTTAGCAAACTGATGATCCAAACCGAGCGTCGTCCTATCCTCGCTGTCGCGCATGCGTTCACCTCGTCTCCAAGGATAAGAATGAACAGAGCAAGAGCGGCAGAAAGAACAAGCGAGAGGCAGAAGAATCCAGGCTATTACTTACGGCCGCCACCAACGACAATTACTCTGGGAGCCATGGTTGTGATGTGAGGAGTCTGAAGCGGTAGAGGAACTGGAGAGGGAACACGACGCGACTGTAATCAGACGGAGAAATACAACGAGGGTATATAGAGGGGCGGGGAGGGAAAAGGAAGAGAATGGAGAGAGGAGAAGAAAAGAAGGGGATAAGAATCAGATCGCGGCTCGACCTTTGGAGTTTTAAACAGTACGGAATGGGCATGAGCTCCACGCCGAGGGCGGTAGTGAGCCGAGGCAACCTTGGGTGGGTAAGGGAAAGCCACCGAGACGGCAGTACAGGTACGTGCTGGAGGGTGCTGGCCACAGCGCGTCGACGGCCCACTAAGCCCGCTGAAGCCTGAGGCCCGGGAGCGAGGTACGGGGGGGTGTTGCGCGGGACTGGCAGTGAAGAGGTACCTAGGCACTGCCTACCGAGAGGCATGCATCTACGCATAGGCAGGTAATCCTTTCTGAATAGTTGGTATCAACGCATTCTTCTCTTCTTCTTCTTCTTCTTCTTCTTCTTCTTCTTCTTCTTTTCACCGTAGACTCGTTTAGAATTGACTCTCCATAATTTTTCCACCACATATATTCACAGATTGCTCTCCAACGACGACCGTCTCCTTGCCGGTACTCCGTGGCATTTTGGAGCCACTTTTCCTCACCCCACTAAACTACCCCAATCGCAGTGTCAAATCAGCAATTAGGCTTTGTAAACTCTCACTGGGGGGCAACGTCAGTCCGTTCCCGGAACACCAGAAACACCAGCCAACGCTGGTCCTACGAACATACCACTAGCAGTAGTATATAGCCGAAGATCCGGAGACCATTGGATCGAAAGGGGGAAAATGCGAGGCGACGAGAGCCGAGTAGGCAATTTTAAAACGTATAAATTTTTTAGTGATTGCATCTTGAAAAAGCGTGCTTGCATTTGGCTCTCTTGTCTGGCAACGTGAGCTGCACACGCGACTGCCGAGGCTAATTTCTCGTCTCCGAGCTCATGGAAACTCACCGTTCGGCAGCGCGACGTCGTCTCCCACCAGGCAACGCCTTTTTTAATCAGGAAACTGCTTTTGCTAAACAACACCCTTTTGATCATCGTAATTTAATCGGCTACACTATCTGGCGCCAAACTGGGCACGCAGCATGCCCGCTAAAACGCTTCTTCCCACGCCCATCCCATCCCATCCCACATGCTTTTCACATGTCAAGACCACCGTCAGCCCAGCTGACCGTAGCATCACATCACTTTACCTACAGTACCTACGTATTGCTACCATGTGTTTCCCCCATACAACAAGCCCAGCAAATCAAGGCAAAAACGGCCCAGCTTCTACCCCACACATTCAAGCACTGTTAGAACCAAAACCCCAAATCCGGGGGGGCCACAGGGGCGCAAGTCAGATGATGGTCTCCGTGCTCGGTGAGCCGGCTTCCGGCCACGCGATTGGCCAGCCCCGGCCCTGAGTCGCAGCAAATCTGTCGTTTTTGCCTTTCGTCTCTTGAACTTTCATGTGAAAATCCTACTTGCAGGCGCAAAGTACAGTTCCCCCAAGTTCCATCTCCCTTATTATGTCACATTGCCTAAGCCTACCTAGGTACCTACTTAGTATTTACACAAGGGGGTGCATGCAGCTCGCCATGTGGTGAAGGGAAAAAAAAGTACAGTACTCTTACCACCTACCTTACGCTGCCCAGCATCGAGTCTATTGCACTGCTCGCGACGGAATTATTGCTTTCTCTCTTTTGCTATTCCTTCAACTAAGGCTTGCTATCTTATTTAGCCTTCGGATATTAATTTTCCACCTCTTGCGCTCCAGCCTTTTTGCCCCAGCTTTCGTCCCAAGGCCAGCTCGTTTTCTAGAACGGAAGATCACGTGACTCAGCATGCATTCCATTTGAGCATCTGCCGCCGTGGACTTCCCTATTTGGCAGGATGTTTCTAGTGACGTCGTTCAGTCGCTCATTCGCGATATCAATCCAACACACCTATTGCAACAAATCCTAACAAAAATATTCCAGCCCAACCTACAGCCCAACCTTCATCCCGTTGCGCTAAAAAGGAAGAGCATGAAGTTCTTCGCCTTGCTCCAACTCAGTCTATTCACCGCCGCAACCGCAGCCACGGCTCCCCCAACGGACCAACAACCGCTCCGCCGGCCAGAGCAGCAGCAGCGTCTGCCTCCTCACCCACCTCCAGGCCACCTCCCCGTCATGATGGGCTCCTCCGGAAACGACAGCCAAGTCCAGCCCGCCGTCCTGCTGTACGACATCCTCGGCACCCAGCGCTCCCTCACCACCTTCTTCTCCCTCACGCGCATGCACGAGTCCACGAGCGAGCCCCTCTCCGACGCAAAGACAAACACCACCGTCCTCGCGCCGAACAACATCATCATCGACGACCTGCCGCGGAAGCCCTGGGAGAATCCTGGCGACTATGCCGCCCTGGGTGAGCAGGCGTATGACGGCTCCGGGGGCAAAGATCGTGCAGACGACAACATGCGCAAGTTTGTAGAGGCGCATCTTGTCGTCGGGACGAGTCCCTGGGAGGCCGGCGTGAAGGCAAAGACGGCTGCAGGGACGGAGGTGTGGTGGGAGACGAAGACAGATAAAGATGGCAACGAGAAGAGGGTGATTATGCCGGATGAGGTTGTAGTAGACCGTGTGGCCAGCCGAGTTGCCAACGGCGAGGTGGTAAGTTGTTTTGTTTCTTTCAAGACAAAAGAAGAAGTTACCAAAACAAAGCGAAACTTCCAAAGGCCGAACCTTGATGAGCTAATGTGAATCTCCTTGATTTAGTGGATTTTGAATGGCGTCTTGAACTACGCATAATGATATGATGATACCTTTTCTTCTTTTATATGCTACGACTATATGCAAACTCTTTTATTCTTGTTCTTTTAGCAGCACATGTTTGCAGTGTAATAATTTAGCTGCAACAAGCTAAGCCTTTACTGAGGCGATGTATGATATGATTTACTTCATTATGAATGTTTGGAAGATCATCTTCGATAATATGAACAACTACCTAGCCACTTCGTAAATGTGCAAAACTCTTACAAGCAGCCAAGATGGAAGCAATTTACCTTACATCACAAACGGAAAGAATTTGAACAAATTTGAACGACGCAGAATGGAATATTATTCACCAATAACTACCAATGCCACATATCTTTCAGTTCTGTGTGGCCTAACTACATTTTCTAGCCAAAACGCCCTCCCCCAACCCATAGCCCTCTTCCCCCCTTCTCCTTGCTTCAAAACCATCTTTCCCCGATCTGTGTGCTAGAAAAAAAGACATTCCCTCAACTGTAGTTAGAAGTCGTGTTTTCCACATCTCCATAATAGATATCCCCCATTTAATATGCAAAATCGATGGAAAAAACGTGAAAATAGCATCAACAGCATCAACAACACAAATGATTCCCTTGAACAACACCAACACAAATCTCCCAAATAATAAAGCCAATGTAGAAACAAAACAACACTTCCATCTTGACAAAGAGTTAAACGAAAGGTACAGAGAGCTTTGTAGACAGAACTCATCCATGAAAAGAAAAGACCGGGAGTAAAAAAAAAAAAAAAAAACATAATAAATATACATGAAAGAAAAATATAGGGGTGAAGAAAAATAGAGAAAGGAAAGAAAAGGAAAGGAAAGAAGAATCTAAGCTGATACAGGACAAAGGGGTATCTGGAAGAATATGAAGAGAATCAAAATTACCCAACAAGTATCTCATACATCCTATCGGTCCACTTTCAAGCGTTTGGGGTCGCTAGCCATGTCATGGTTCTCATCAGGGCCAATCGCTTCAAGCTCCGGACTCTTTCGTTTTGCCAACCCCGACGGCTGTGTCGAGCCGCCAAGGTTGCTGCTACCTGCCTCAGCATTCCCGCCGCTGCCACCTGGGATGTGGGTATCGTCCCGTAGGAAACTCGGCCCCGAGCCTACCACGGGTGTAGCAAAGTTTAGAGGGCTGGGCAGCGTGTTGTTGTCACTTCCTCTAAAGTTCCACTCTGGATAGAAACTGCTGGGACTTGGCAGCAGCTCGTTATTTAGGAAGCGAGACGGGAGAGCAGAAACGGGCGTGTCACCATTGATATTCTGCTGTGGGACTGGGCGAGCAAAAGGATTAGGGGGGCCTGTAGCTCCGGCCGAGAGCAGTGTGGTGGCAGATGGAGAAGGGGGTGGGAGGACTACGGTGCCATGCCGATGCTGTGCGTGGGAGACGGCGTCTGCTGGATTCCGAGGGGAGTTCGAGTCGCCTGTTGCACTGCCACCAGCTTCGGACGCCCCATCCGGAATCTGGACGGTAAGCCGCGGCGGTTTCGGCCGTGCGCCTCCCACAGCTGTGTTGATCTTTAGACTGGCGGTATTTGGAGTATCGGGGAGAGAGGATATCGACGTATTGCGCAAATTGGATCGTTGTTGTAGGTGCGGCGAAGATGATGATTCTCCATTTCGTATGATGGGTCCATTATCAGCCGACTGAGACCGGTTCGCATTTGCTTGAGACTGAGGTTCGGAAGCAAAAGACGCCAAATGCTGAGATAAGATTGACCGGTTTTCCTCGATCGGCGTGAAGATACTGTGAGATTTGCGCTGAGACAGCTTCTTGATCGCGGTGTCCGTGTTAATTAGAGGCGCCTTGGGCCGCTCGGAAGCTTCTGCCTTTGGTTCGACGGGTGGGGGAGGTTGCGGATCCAGGGGACGTCGTGATGGCTGCGGTGAAGTCATGTGAGGGGGAATGGAATGCGGGGGGACTAGTTGATGAGGCGGCTGAGGAGGAGATGGCTCTGGGCGTGAGCCTGCTGCCAGGGGCTGAGGAGGCGGATGAGCATTGAAGGTGGGGGGTGCAGATGGTCTTCGTTCTTCCATATATGGCTGCTGCTGCTGCTGCTGTGGTGGTTGATATGGATAAGGACCAGGCTGGGGCGGCATCAAGTTGGAATGGTTACCAGCAGAAGGGTTGTAGATGGGGGGCGTAGGCATGTACGTTATACCCGGGTGAGGTCCATGGGGGCCGACGGGCTGGGACATCATGCCGGGACCCATGCGCCGCATATCTCCTCTCGAGCCGGGCCGTGATGGGACGGCAGGTTGCGGCGTGTGGCTTCGTTGAAGGTGAGCAGGATGGCCCTGGAAAGGCACACCATTGGGAATGGGAGGCGACACTGAGGCTGTCTGATGGCGGATATGAGGAGGGAAAGACTGAGGTTGGCCCTGGAAGTGAGGAGGCATCATGTGAGCTTCCATTCCGTCAGGGCCTCGAGGAGGCGTTCCGTCACCGTCCTCATCATCGTCGTCGTCGTTTCCGCCGCCGTTAAAGTCGGCGGGACCCTTGTGCTCATTAGGACCGCCGTGCTACAATTGTCATTACATCAGCTAATCGCGTCCTGCCAGAATTGGAGTGAACATGGATAACCATGCAGCCGACGAAGCAGCCTTTAGTGGAACTAACATATTGGTACTTGGTGATGAGATGCTGCATATCTGCTGAAGAGTATTCATATAGCTTTTTGTTGTTGCCAAAGATGAAAACAGCGACATCGACGGAGCACAGGACAGAGAGCTCGTGTGCCTTCTTGAATAGGCCGCCCTTTCGCTTGAGAAAGGTCCTAAGATAAGATGTCGATGTTAGCTCAAGTCCATATAGACAGCGAATTGGGCTCGAGGGAACGGCTTGGCGATAACATACACGGAGCGATTGCGGTCATCTCTGATGGCCTTGATCTCAATCTTTCTTCGACCCATTTTGAAGTACGGCTAGCAAGAATCGCGGTATTGGAGGAGCGAGGTGGAACGGCGCGCGAGGCTGAAGGACTCAAAGCTCGGGATCGTCCAGTACCCGGCGGCCGTGGACGTGTTTGGCTGTGGCGGGTCTCGAGGTCGAACCCAGTAGTCAAGGTCGCTCGGAGAAGGGGAATTTTCGAGGTCGAGATCGAAATTGGGCCCGTGAAGCGGGAGCAAAGTTTTGTGCAATGTCTAAAAAAGCACGCGCCGCAGGGAAGTGTTTTGTCCGGACCCACAACGAGAGAGAGACAAAGAAGCACGGGGAGGGAGTAAGACGGCTCGCCCCAGGGAGATGGCAAGAGACGACGGCCAATGCTAGCAGCAGCGGCGGCAGTACTAGCACCTATATAAACCGGCCTGGGCTTGGTCTTCTTGTCATGCGCGGGCGCACCAGGACAAGGATGGCGATGGAGGAGTTGAGGCCGAGGACGACGGGAGGAAGCAGGGAGGCGCCACCTATGTACAATTACCGGCAGCCACAATTATATACCTAGAGTGGCCCAGCGGACGGAGGCAGGTAGGCAGGCTAGGCGCGAACAGAGAAGAGGATGCCGCGCGATGATGGTTCGCAAGACGGAACTGAACCGGGCGGGATTCGATGCCAGTGGCGGGCGGCTTCAGCAGCGGTGCCAGGGCCGATCCAGTCGCAGTCGCGGTCGCAATGCGGCGCGATACATGCAGCGGCAGCGGCAGCGTCTGTCGCTTGGGATGCTGGGTGGGCGGCGTGGTGCGTTGCAGCGGTTGATCGTTGAAGCTGGGGTTGGATTAAACGTGTTGGCACAGGCGGTTGCAGGACGATGGGGCTGAATCTGGCGTTGGAGGCTTCTAATAATAGCCAGATCGTGTTCAGTCTGAGGGAGTGGGAAAAAAAAATTAAGAGGGAAGAAGGGAAAAAGGGCCCTACTAGTACAAGTCCAGCAGGGAACTGCCCAAAGCTACAGGGTGGAGGCGGAGGGGGGGCTTTCGCTTCCTGTTTTGGCTGCGGTGCCCTACCAGTCGATTTGCCGTGGGCGGGCAGCGCCCCTCTGCCGTATTTTACTGGGTGCAGCGGGAGGGCTTAGCAACATTTCAGTCCGTCTAACGGATTCGATTCGACGTTTGGTTGATTTGACATGACATGCTGGTGCATTGCATTGCGCTACAGCATCGTTAGTTGTTGCTGCCACGGCTGCACGGCTGCAGTCCAGCTCGCGCCGCTGCTGGCAAGGGTTCCCTGGCGGAGCGATACGACGCTCTGCAGTACTGTAATACCTACCTGCTGCTGCACTGGCATCCTCAGCGAGCGCAGACGCATTACCGCGTCCAGCAGGCTCTGACGTGACACTCCAGCTCCAAATTGTAGTGGACGAACCACGTCATGGGCTTAGCTTGGGCTGCACCCTTGCACCATGGGGCCCGTAATGCCTACTGTAGCCCTACTGCACAATCTGCCCAGCCACTGTTTCCAACTCCCAAGATTCCAAATTTCGATGTCAGTTCCGTTTCTCTGCTAGTGCTTGTCAAACGCAGCGTTATGTGATTCCTTCATCATGCTATACAATGGAATATCACTGACCGGCGACTAAGCCCGTTTACATCGGCCAGTCATACGTTTTGTGCTACCATGCAAGATTAACAACCATTGTAGGGAACCTGATTCTCCCACGGACTCCATCACCGTAAGATTAATTGGAATGAAAAATGGCCCCATGTATCCACAGCAGCCTGGCCTATTTGCCAGACCCCCCCGGACAAGCACGCACCTGTAGTTTGTGATAACCGGCACGTTTCGCGGCAACGGTGATAACGATCTGCCAGGCTTGACTATCCAGCCTGCTTTAGCCGCCACTCGAGAAGAAACGAATTGCAGGGGAAGCTCTCTTCTGCCTGTCTGACGGTTCGTTGTCAACGCTGGGGGACCAACGTTTCTTGCATGCCCAGCGTTTCTTGTCCCTGGAGGAAGGTCTAAGCCTAGTCCAGGCCTGCGCAGCTAAGCCTCCAGGGGTACCTGATTCTCGCTGTTCATGCAGCCATTTCCACGAGGAGCATCGGCAGCAATAGCCCGAGCCTGCAGTAATCCAGACTTGGCCTACCGCTCACCACCACAGCACAGCGACCTGGCAGACAATGGTCCTCGCTGCCCAGGTCAGACCGTCAGGAGCACTCGCCTCCCCCCCTCCCAGGCGACGCAAGGCGAGGCTACAAGGCAGCGCCAGCACACACTGGATGCTGCTGCTGCTGCTAAAGCGAATGCGGTGAAACACCAGACGAATGGCCCACGCATCGAACGCCCGTCACGGCCATATCATGCCAAGATCCGGCACACTTTTCGCCCGCGCTTCTCGCCAGGTGCGTCGTGGAGGGCACGCGCTTAGGCAGCGACTTAAATCGTCTAGACGTCACATGCTAGACAGTCACCGCGTCAAGACAGCCGTCGCTCTCACCCAAGGGTCCACACATGAAAGAGCGGGAGAGAGAAGAGAAAAGAAGAGGGACAAGACAAAAGGTACCTGCCTCGGTCGCTCCCGGATTCTATCCGAATATGCTGCGAGCCGAGAGTTCGGTTTTTACAAACTCTGTAGCGCTGCCGACCCCATCACCAGTCACAGATAAGCGCCCTGCTGCCGTCCGTTTCTGCATCATCACCTCTTGGAACCAACAACGCTGCAGCAATTCTGAAATAGAACAGCGGTATCAGAACAAAGAAAAATACTGTTCTGAAACACAAGCCCCCATGCCGGGCCCTTTCCCCTCGGATACAAGGCAAAACAAAAATAGTAGACGCAGAGAAGAACAATGAAGCGTATCACTGCAGATGCCATGCCCCATGCCCTGCGAGCAAAACCACCAGGTCGCGAGATCCAGGGGCCCACCCGGCTCAGCCTCCCTCTCAGCTCATTCTTGCGGATACATGTAGGTACTACTCGCCTTTCCGTCTTTTTCTCCTCTTTCTATCTTGTCACAAATTCTTCTACTATTTTGTCCCCAATTGCTGCCCCGTCGATTGCATGTGTGCACACACGTATGTATTCCACCCTTCTGAAAAAAGCCTAAATCAATTTAAAAAAAAGAAAAGGTAGTAAAACGAGCCAGAATAAAATAGGAAAAAAAAAATAATAATATTAAAAATTAAAATTGGGTTTCTTACACTCAATCTTCTCTCGACTCCGCCTTGAAGCCACCCACCCGCTCTCCCCTTCCCGCTCAGCCTCCTCCGCCCGCCGCAGGACCCCTACAAGCCTACCGATTGGACGCCTGCCCGTTCTTTTCTTATTTTGGGCCCTCATGCAAGGGTATTACTGTATTTCTTATAGTGCACTTCTAAAAATACTCTCGCAGCTTCGCGCATACACACTAACTCGCTAGACCCTTTTTTTTTTTTCCCCAACTCAACACCATCTTGCCAAGCATCATCATCGTCACCTGGCATCGCCCTCTGCTGCGTGCTGCAGTGGCATGTCCTGTCCTCGAGTGCATCATAGTGCTGCAGTTTGCCTCTCAGATCGGCTGTTTTCTCATAAATCATGTCATGATTTGCACCGTGTTAGCCAAATCATCCTTTCGGCAACTAAAAGCTCCCAAGGCAACGAGGCTACACGAAAGACCTAAACAGCTGCCTCCTGATCCGTCGTGACCTAATTCCTCACTTCGTTAGACTTATGCAAGCCATTTTCTTACTTGCAGCCACGTATCACGCATCTGGGACTCTTCAACGTAAAGCTGCCGTCCTATCAAATCACTCGAGACTGCTTGAGCTGGAACAGCAAGTCATTACGGACGCTACCGCCCCTTGAGCAGGCTTTGCATTGTACCATCTACATATGTACCTAAGCGGATTTTCCAGGTGTGTATATGTTTCGAAATTAACTCTTTGATCTCCCTTGAACGCCAATCAAGCCCATGGGGCTGACATGCTTGAAAACCCAAACTCCTGTGCTGCCTGCCCCTTTACGTGTTAATCGAAGCCTCATCAAATCCCAATTTTCATCATTACCCGACTCATCCATGGCGTGTCTCGCCGGCGACAGGATCAGAAACAGTACGAGGTTATTCTCCGTCGCCCCATCCAGAAAGCTTTCGTAAATTCCACCGACTTCTACCTTATTTGCTTTTGTATCGCTTAGCATATCATTTGTTTTGTACCTCTTTGTTACGCGGCGCAGCTTGTATCGGCACGTAAGTGTAAAGGAATAAGTACGGCTGCTTTTCTGCCACCACAACGTGATCGGTGTCATCTCTAAATCGGCGATCCCGCGCCTCCCGTGGGGGCATTGTAGTTACCAAAACCACCGTGTTCAGATGCGCCGTTGTCCGCTTTCATCGTACCGTTAAGCAGAGGACATAATCTTGGGAGTGCAAAGTTAGCAAAATAGAAATCTCTTGCGGGGAAACTTTGAAAGAGCTGAAATAGAAAAAAGGCAAGGCTAGATAGAGGAAAGCGGGAGACAGCAAAGGCACCAGCAGCCAGGCGATTGTGATTAGTGAGATCTGTCAGCTGCAGCTCTCCACCACGGCTGGTTAGAGAAGCATTGTGCTCCTTCGCCCTGCCTTTGTCTTTCTTCCCGTTCCTGCCGGGCTCTTTCTTGCAGCTCTCGCTTGAGTATCTGCAGCTGCTCCTTTTCCTCGCGAAGCGCTTCCTCTCTGTCTAGCTCTTCTTGCGCTTTGCGTTCTTTTTCTTCTTTGCGTGCCTTCTGGCTCTGCCCATTGCCGGCTTTCCGCTTTGTCAGACGCGCTCGCTCTTCTTTTCGAGCTTGCATGTCAGATTGCTTAAGCTTACGGGCAAGGATGCTTTTTCGCTTTCTGTTTCTCTTGCCAGCACTACTGGCGCCGTCTTCCAGCTCTCTGGCACAATGCCACCAATCAAAAGGCAAACGAGGGGGTGGTGACGTAGGAGGTAAACAAGTAGGGATTACCGTACTTTTTGTTTGTCTTAATGTGTCCAACCTGTCCACAATTGGCACACTTGCGGGTAGTCCCTGTAG